ACAGCTTTGTGACTATCAATGATGAAAAATGACGCGTGTCTCGATTCACCGGTGATGCGCCTTTAATGCAACGCTCGCGCGTTCGTGAATCACGATTCTTCTCAGTTATATATCTAATTGCAATTGTAATTACACGTTGCGTCATTTGACGACACGATATGTTATTATTCAGCGCGCAAGCTTGATAGGTAATAAATTTCCTCCCGAAATGAGAATCAAACCGTGAGAAGGTAGAAAACGCACTTGCCTACTCTCAATATATATGCACGTGGTAAAAAAGACGTCTACCTTTACTAAAGCGGATTCCAGACGCACCGCCGATGACAATGCCCGAACGATACGTAGATTCTACCTAGATTATAGTCTTCGCAACACGACTTAAAGGTTTACTCCAACAGCTTGATATCTGCGTTTGACACATGTAAAAAATTAAATATAAATTCGAAGGCTAAATAACAACCTAGGCACATAAACAATGTTACGTTAAATGCCAGTAGAAATACAACTCTGGCATTTTTAATCGACACACTGATACGTGAATCTGTCCGGTATATCCAGATTGCACGGCGTATCCAGATGGAAAGTCTACTGCGTTTCGTTAAACGTAATTCGAAATATTTTTCGATACCGTTGAATTAATAAACGAGTATAAATGCGATCACTGCTGCTGGCGTGTCGACGGTAAATGTAGAGGGCCGCTTACCGCTTTTCGCTTGTCCTCCGCGCTCAAGGCACTGTGGCTCCTGTGCCTAATGAGATCCATGACTTTGCTCACAGGATTCCTGCTGCTTTCCGATCCAGCCCTAGGCCGTCCGCTTCCCTGCTCCTTATTCTCCTTTTGTTCCTTCTGGCTTTCTCTATGATGCTCCTTCTCCGTATGTACATCTACCGACGAGCTTCCGTGCGATCCTCTGTGCAAGGAATGCTGGACAATCATATAATAAAGAAATTAATAATGTTACAATATATTGTGCACGTAATAAAAATGTACATGAAACTCTCTAATGTGTACAGATCTTTTCCTTCAATCTTCTATTGATATCGTAATTGAAACCAGACGTAAAATGGATATAAATTTTTCAAAACTACTTTACAGAATTTTATAAAATTTAATCATTATATTATGATCATGCATATCTCTTCTTTACAATTAATGCGTATATCGTTCTGTTATTTGTACCTGAACGGCACTTTTCATATTAGCTATAATACTGGGCTTCCTCTTGCTAGCGTCCGACTTGCTCCTCGGTCTGAAAGCGTCGAAGAGCGCCGGCTTTCTCGTTGGGCTGGCGGTGTCATCCGTACCACCGCCGCTTTTACGACGTTCCGCGCTATTACTGCGACTATTACTGCGACTGGTGGAACCGGACCGGGTGCCGGAAGTCTTTCGACCGCCCTTGCCGGAACTCGACGAGCTCGACGGCTCGGCCGGCTGCGGAAGGGGCGTCGATTTTCCAGAGCTAGGTGCGCTCCCGTAAGACGACTTTTTGATTGTCTTCGAGTGCGAACCCCACGTATCTGCAAGTCAAATTATTTCATAAATATTTTATTTGATCACTTAACACTTAACTAACTTTATGCAAATAAATATATATCTGGCAGCAGGTATTTCGCTCGACGTAGCAATTACCGCTCTCTTATACTTGCGTAAACCACTTTGCTGTGTATCAGAAAGAATTTATTTTTCCCGTTAGCAGATAAACGAATAATTATACGATACGGATCTGGCTTGCAAAACGCGAATATAAGTTTCGCGTGCCCCGGAAGAGAAGAAAATTTAACGACCGCATACACGATCGTCAATTACCAACTCACCTGCTCGTGGCCTGTGACCTTGAGAAACATGCCCGGAATTATCCGTGTCCTCGGTCACGATCGTTGGTAGTGGTTGCGAGCCAAGCTCCTGAAAGGAAGAAAGTGCTTTATAAAAGACGATCGATCGAATTGTCCGCACGAAATCCCCGAAACCGACTAGGGATTCCTTCGTATAAACTCTATAGCGGCTCGTGAGAATCATTATAAGCCGCGAAGACGACGCAGACGCGGCGATTAGATATCGCTGTTTAATCGCACGCGATAGCGCACAATTGCCGCAATTATATATTTACGTATACACATTCTTATATTTAGTCTCGTCGACGAGGTGCAACGCGCCGATATTACGTCCGCGCGGCGAAATTTCACATTGATTTATTCGAGCGTTGAGAAAAAAAAAAGAGATAATCAAGATAAGCGTATCCAATTACATAATAATAATAATATCTTTGGAATTCGTCCAAGGGGAGATCCCACTCTGGAAAATGTCCAACGAACAGAGCGCGTATACGATCATTTCGCTTCGCGCTCGCGGCTCCTAGAGTACGTTTTAACATTTGCAAGTCTAAATTCTATTTTTATTCCGTTACTTGGTCCGAACTGCATATCGCGCCCCGTACGACAGATCGTGAATCATATACTTCGTCAGCTGCAATACGTCAATGCCGTAATTGTCTCAGCCTCTATCGAGAAAAAAAATTAAGACTTTGCTTTAAAGCGATTAGTAATTCTCGTCTTTTACAGAACCGCTGCGTTATCTCTCTCTCTCTCTAGATTTTCATGCGGCGTCGATATTTTTATTCATGAATCTTTTTTCACGAGAAAAAAGAAAATGCTTGAAACGCAGAATCTCGGGAAAGAGATTTTTCAGTATAATTCCCGCGTTTGTGTCTGCGCAACAATATTTTTCGGAAAAATACTTTTGTTAGCGTAACGACGGGTCGCTGAGGTATATAATTGCGAAATAACAAGCTGCTTAGCGCACAAAAGGGGATATTGATAGGGCGCCCCGCGTGGCCGTTCGTTATATACGCATTCACGTGAAATCCCGCGGAGCAACAATAGGAGACGAGATCGAAGAAGGGCGCGACAGGATGGCGACCTTCGGGAGGTTCTCATCTCCAGCTTCCTCTCTCCATCTCTCTCTCTCTCTCTTTCTCTCCTTCCTCGTTAAAGAGCTCCCGTCGGAGCTGACGCGGGATATATCAGCTAAGCCGCGCGAGCGAGATTAGACGTATTAACTTTGCACGACTGCACGGGCAAGGGGAATATATCTCTCGCGGAATACCTTATAAGTCCCGTGATACTCCGGGCAACGGTCCAGATACGGCACCAGGGAGTACTTGCGCACTTTCCCGAGGGACACCGACATCCTCTCACGGTCGTCGAGTCGAAAACGGCGCGTCTCCCAAGCGTTCATCCCGCGGATATCGCGCGTCCATCGAGATTTCGACCCCGAATGGCAAGATTATCGCGGGCAGCGAGGATACCTAGTATATCTCGCGACTACTATCTTCTCGCAACTCGTTATCGCGATAACGATTCTTCTTCGAGCGACGGTCATCGGCTCGCCTCGCCGGTAAACGCCACCTCTTTATCACGCCGCACTTGCGACTAGCCGCAATTATCATTCCCGACGCGATCATTCTCCAAGCGCGTCTGCTATACGTCCATCAAATCCTTATCAAAATTCGCCAATGAGGGATTACGTTCCGCGCAGAACAGAGATCTTCCTCGAGCGTCACACACGTCTTCGAGTCGATCTTTCTTCAATCCAATGCCGTTGTCCAACGATTAAATACAACAATACAACAATACGTTAATAATTAAATACAGATAGACACATGTTTGTCGTGTTCTGAATGAAGAAAATCGCGATGCAATATGAGTTAATCTTTAAAGCGGCGTTTTTGGAAAATTTGCAATATAGATTTGCGCCTTATCAAGATCTCAGTGCTGACTGACGGCATCTCGAGGATTCTCCACGACGCGTTCGTTTCTCTTTCTTTATTGATGGCGCGATATAATAATATTCCTACAATCGTCATATAACGACGTTATCGCCGATGTTATCGAGGATAATTCCGTGCATCATCCGCGTGGCGACCTATTTTTATCGAATTTTATCGCGATACGGCTAGCTTGTTTTCTTACACGTGAAAAGCTCTTATCGTTATAGTTCTGCCGCCTATAGTCGCACCGTTAAACAGCGGAAGTGTAACATCAATTATCAGTAGCGACAATATGGACGTATCTCTGCTAAACTAAATATCACTTTTCCCTCATATCTTTATCTTTTACTTGTTAGTTTTATTTATTTTATTGTTCTAATTTTCTTTATCGAAGTTTCCTAAAGTTACATTGCATAACAAAGTGAGAATACGTATTACACATATATTTCTTTGATAATCAATTAACGCAAATTTCTGTTTGCGCCGTCGACTCGAATTCTGGTCAGATAAAAGTAAAGAGTAAAGAATCATTTGGATTATTATTAATCATTAATCATTAATCAAGTAGGATTATGAACATGTGTTTAATTGCTGCATAACAATTTAATTCGGAGGTACTTTAGATTTACGATTGTACCGCGATAATCTCGCAAACAGAATCTCGTGTAATCCGCGCATTTTAGTTTGCTCAAAAACACGATATAAATTATTCATTGAGTTTGTACAACTTTGCGAAAGCGATGCGCTCTTTGACAGTGAAATCATTCCTTATCATCAAATTTGATATTTATACACGTGTATTATCACTTAGTTCTTATATCATATAAAATAAATTAATTAACACGTTACGAGAAATGATAACGTTTATAATAGATTGTAAAACGCAAAAAATTATTCAGTGTACATTATCGTGCTCAAAGAAAAAAATTTATCTATTTTTTGTTTAAAAATAGCGCGGAGCGTTGGGAAATAATTTTTTCACTGTTAAAAGCAATGAAAATTTACGGTTAACAATAAAACGGTATCAACAACAAAAATAGCAATGGACGATAAGCAGGTCTCCGCGTTTTCCGCATTAATAAAATATGCGTTAAAATTGGAATGCGACGTAAAAAAATTATGTTAATTTCCATTCGATTAATATTTTTCTCACGTTACACAACGCGAGATGACTGTTGTTTTGATATCGCTCAGATCCGATAAGATTGTAGAACTTCTTTCTTTCTCTTTCTTTATACTAAGAAATTTAATATTAAATTAAACTGCAGACGCAGAAGATCGATATCGATACACGAATCAAAATGTGTCTATTTTTAATAAATCAAGAAATTTCTTTTGAAAAAATCGGTAGAATCGCGAAGTGTATGCACAGCGAACCGAAATGACGAAAGCGACAGAAATGTATACACAGCGAATCCCGGGAAAAACGTAGAAAATAGTGTCCGAGCTTTGACGTAAGACGTTCGAGTGCGCTCCGTTGTTCCAATTAATATTGTTCCAATATTTCCTATGGGCGAGGACACGCACGAGGACCGGTGGACTGGACACATCAAACTGTCTATTCGTCATAGGACCTCTCCATCGCGAGTATCGGTAATAATTTCTCTTTCGAGTAAATCGATAGAGCTTAAAGGAAGCCTTGTACCAGTTCGCCTCACCCCTTCCGTGAGACGTTATAGAGCCGCATCGGGAGATCTGGGGCAGACGATACGACATTTAGAAACACATGATCCAGTCTTTCGTCACTCTCAAACGGCCACGGAAATAAAACAATCAAACGATCGTGCGAGAATCACTTGCGTCTATCCGCGAAAATAATCGGAAATTCGCAATCGTTATGTTTCCTGTATTCGACTCCGTTTCTTCGTCGATTGTTCCTTCGGGAAGGAACTTTGTTACGCCAACTCGTCAAGATAATCCACTTTCGGAAGAGAGAAAGGAGAAAGAGTAGAAGAAGCAGAAGAGTCTTCAAGTTTTCTCTTTAAAATAAATTTTTTTTTTTTAATATGTGCGATCAAGTTTTTGTCCTGCTACTTACGGAAGCTACACGCTCCAATAGCGAATATCTTCGCAATGATGATTTCACGATCTGTGCTACTCGACGTGCAAAAGGAACGCGCTTATAAAAATGCAAGAACCTTACCCAGCAGGCACAATGACGCACTGAGTGGAAAAAAAAGAAGAGGAAAAGAGGTAGATCGACAAACGAACAATACCGTCGAGAAAATATTCAGAACTACACGAATTTTTTAACACATTGTGCAATAATAACGACGCGTACGTATCACCGAGCGTTTTAATAAGCGTATTTTAATAAAATACTGCCCGGAGAAACGCCACGCGCGCAAACACGACGACAATGACGACAAAGAATCCAATTTCGTTTTGTTGACGTACAACTGACGAATAATCGTGGCGCAATCGAGGAGGAAACAATGAGCGATTCGCGAATAAACGATAGGATTACTTCGTGCGATCCGCTTTCGCAAGAATCGACCGGCTGGGGGATCGCTGTAAACAAATTTACGGGACCGCTTCTACTACGCGGCAATTGGTTAATTGGTGCAATTATAGACGGGGCAAATGGAACGCCGACGCCGACGAGGCGCGATTGTCCACATGTCGTTGGTTCTCCGATCCTTAAAGGGACAACGTACGAAAACGGCACGATTTCGTTCGACTGAAGGCCAGTGTTCTCCTCGAAATAAAAAAAAAACGGCCAAAGTTTGTCGGCACAGCACATTTTGTGCACATCACATCAATTGAGTACACACGGTGTGTTAAAAAAGATGCTTTTTTGCATTTTTTATCAATAAATGAATTATATTATCAAGTAATATTGGCTCGATAATTTTAGAGCGACAGTCGCTCTGTATAAAATATTTTCGTGCTCGGATATTTCAAATGTCCAATTCATTTGAGCAATTACACATTTCGAGTTTCATTTAAAAATGCTTTCTTTTTTTAAATACATACCGTAAAACATATACTGACGGCAAAAAGCGAATTGGAAAGAAACTAATTTTATTTGCTAAGTGTAGTTTCTCTCAATTCGCAAATTATTTCGCCGTAACGAGACCTTTGTTTCTATTATACTACTTTAATTTAGCAGCAAATTTACTCAGGAATATTTTTCTACTTCTCCAACACGAACAACACGATATTGTTGCAATATCGGATAGTTACGGCAGTTGATTAAACTTTAGTCGTATTCGATTAAGCGGCAAAATTGTCGGCGCGTCCCGGGTTAATATCGCCCGGGTTAATACTCGAGATAATAGCTCACTCACCCGCCGTTTCCTCTCCTGCAAGAAATCCATCCTGCGTACCCACACCTCGTCCGTGGAGTCGTAATCGAGGGTGCTGGTACTGCTCGCCTGGCTCTTCATCTCGATCAGGCTGCTGTCGAAGAACCGCTTGTCGAAATGCGGGCTGGGCAACGGGCTGGTCCTCGAAAAGGTCATGCTAGCGGAATACGAAGGGGGATCGGTAGCGGGGAAGGTCATGCCCGGGCCGGTGGTATGTCGCCTTCGTAGCGGAGGCTTCGTCGTCGACGTCGGCGACGTCACGGTGGACGTGGTGAATCTACCGACTGACGTCGCGACCGTCGTCGTCGTCGTCGTCGTCGCCGCGGTCGCGCCCGTTGTCGTCATCGTCGTCGTCGTCGCCATCGCCGTCATCGTCGTCGTCGTCGTTGTCGCCGTTAACGACGGCGACGGTGGCTTCGCGTCCGACACGCTGGACGTCGCCAGAGACTTCTCGTCGATCTTCTCCGAACTGGAATTCTCCGAGGACGACGGGCTCGACGCCTTCGACGTCTTCGAGGAAACACTGTCGGTCTTCTCGATCTGCGCCTTCGACGTGTCCTTCTTGCTGTCGACGCTCGGGCTATCGACGTTCTTCCCTGCAAAAGTCATCAAAGATATAGGCTTCTGCAACGCCATGGAAACGCGACAAGGCTCTCCGTTTATCCGATTCACGCGTGGAGCCCCCAAGGTCGAGGAGTGGCACAAAGGCGCGTCTGTGACCCCGTTGGATCGTCGGAAAATTCATGACGACGCGACAAGATTATTGCGCGTCGATAAAACGGTCGCGATCGTTGCCGTTAAATTATTAAAAGCAACGTTTGCAAGAATAGAAAAATGTCAAATTATAAATACTCATTGTAACGCGACTAAGGAAACGCGCGGAATAAATAACATGGCGAACATTTTGATATTTCATGTATCAAGGGCGATCATGTTCTCGTAAACGGTCAAGGATCGTATCTCGAGGCTCCAGAGAGGAGAAACAGGAGAGAAACGCGCTCTAAATACGTTTAAGCGATCGTTACCTAAGTGGAGTGACTTTTCGCGCCGCGCGTTGCCAAACGCGAGCACGCTAAGCTAATCTTAGCTCTCATTGGACGAGCTCCTCGCAATAGCTTATATTTCGTAACCGCGCACGCTTTTCTCGATAATTGTCCGCCGAAATCCGGGTTCGATCCGGGGGTAATTAACTCTCCTCGTGAACTCGTGATAATAACAAAGAGAGAGAACGCTTTCTCTTACCTTCCTCGGTCTCGTACTCGTCCTCCTCCCGGCACTCCGACAATCTCCTACCCCAGGGATACGGGCTGTGCGTCTGGTTCCTCGACGGCAGCCGATTTACATGCGACAGGAAATAATGGTGAAAGAAACTGTCCACTCCGTCGGAATCCTCCCCGGAGGACTGTAACATATCCTTGAGCGCCGCCAAGGACGTGATGGTATTGTAATTGATCGCCGAGACCAGATCATCCTCGATATCGCTGTCGTCCGTCGTGTCCTCGTTCTTGGACGTGCCCTCCTTCGAAGTCTCCTCCCGCGAAGTCACTTCCGTTTGCGTCGTCGGGGCCGTTTCCGGCTTGGACGGCTCCGTCTTGTCCTCCGAACTGGTCTCGGACTCGTCGTCGGTGGTGCTGGTGGACGTGCTGTCGCTGGACGACAGCTCCTGCTCCTTCTTCTCGCCCGCGCCGGTCCGCGTCTCCTTGCGCTCCTCCTCGTCGACGGACCCCTTGCTCCCCTCGTCCTCCTCGTCGGCCTCCTCGTCGTCGGCCGACAGCGTCTTCTTCAGCGTCTTCATCTCGTTCTTCAGATTCATGTTCTCCAGGGACTCGCGCTTGTCCTCCGCCTTCATCTTACGCTCGACGTCCTCCTGCCCGGTCGAATCGTCGTCATCCCGCTTCCTATTGTCCCCGTTTACGTCGCACTCGTCCGACTCGTTCTGCTTGTCGTTACCGGTGCCCTCCATCGAGGAAGCTGAAAGAGAAGGCGAGAATTATCGCTCCCGCGCGCAAGGTCGGCTTCTCCCGCCTCTCATAGTAGTTTCCCCATACACACACACACGTACGTACGCTAGCTACGTCGCGTCGTCGATGCGATCGGCGAAATAGAGCGCGTACCTACCGCTTACCGCAATGCGCCAGCGACATAGCGTTTATTCCATGTACACACACGCATCGTTTACGTTTCTCTCCGAGATCACATCCCGAGGGTGTGCACCGAATTGCGAGAAGCGGAGCAATTAAAATAATTGCATCGCGAAGCGCGATTCGATTCGGGGCGACCGGCTCACAGCGTCTGCGAGTCACGAACCAAGCGCATTGTACGTAAAATCGCGTAAGACGAAGAGGAATAGCGGATGGAACTTTAGCGGCTCTTTGGCCGGACGCCAGGCCTCCGTCGTGCGCGAATTGCTTGTTTACCGCGTGCTGGCGCGTGACGTAAAACGCTATTCGGCTCGTGGACCCGATCCGAGCGGCCTGGCAGACGTAGACACGTGACAGATCATGTGAAACCTCTCGCGCGAGCGAGCGACCGAAGTTGAGAAAAAAATCGCTTTATCGTTGATAAATTTTCTTCCCGACTCTCGCGATTCTCGAGCGAAGGAGAAAAAACAAAAGAGAGAAAGTAAGAGAGAAAGAAGGGAGGGAGGGAAAGAGAGAAAGATAATTAAATACTTTTGTTTCTAACTTTTAATTTTAGGTAAGATTTTCTTCGTCCCTTTGTCCCTACGCGACACATTTTAATAATAGAAAAGTGAAAAGCAGAATTAAAAACGGTATTGTCGTGGTACAATGGTCCCGTGGAGTGCCGATAAACGCGATTTTATATCGACGTCTTATCTCGGAAGTATCACGGAGGAAATTCACCGCTGGGTCTTATCACACGCCACGCGGCAAAATGTCACGAAAACAATGTATAAAACTGGGAAATCCGCTACTGGAGTTACCGCGACAATTATTGTCACGACGTGTATGCCGCGCTATTACATCCCCTCTCTATATATATTTCTACAAAAATCTGATAATAACCGAATCTCCTCCGCTTGGAACGATCGCGATTTCGCTGCGTTAATAATGGAATTTCTTCGCGATAATAATGAAAAATAGTGCGAAAATAGAAAAACGTCAAATATAATTATTAACCTTTTGTCAAATATTGGTCAAATATTGGTCGATTTATAATTTGACATTTTTTTCTATTTTCGCAAACGTCGCTTTTAATAGAAAAATGTCAAATTACAAATCTCTCGTCAAAAAACCAAATATTATATGTTATATATTATAATATATTATATACTTTATATCATATATTTACCAAATAAACATTTGTTCTTCCGTACAATTTTCTTTCGTAAATATCACACCGCACCCCCCTTATTGCAAACTTCTAACTACAACGCGCGAGTGCATGCTTTTACACAAAAGTTTCTCTTTTTCTTAACGCGAAAAAACATTTATCGGAATCATATATTTTCATTCGCGCTTCGATCAACAGGTGTTTTCGGAGGGGCAACTTTTCGCGAAGGTGTTTGTTGCACGGTAACGCGCACGGCAGGCAGGTTCACGAAACGTTGCCACGCGACCCGGGAGTACAATGTCTTTTACACAGGACACACGCGGTGTATTAATATACTCGTCGGCATTGAGAGCAAACAGCTGATTCAAGGTCGGTACGCCCACCGTCGTCGTGTCGTACGCGGTGAACCCTTTAAGCGTGTAACCCCGCACTCTAAACGATCGTGATTTACTACCTTCGGCTCCATCGCTCATCGCGACGAATCGTCCGTTAACGAAAAATCTCCAAACCGATCTCAAGCCTGAAAGATCCCCCCTTTTATCTCGTCCGATCGTTTCATCAGCCACGACGTGGCCTCGATAACTCCGGCAAACATTTCGAGATTAATTGTTACCGTGGCTACGTCTAACGTTGAAAAATATACGTATTTTATCTTGGCTCTCTTCTCGGCGCTCTTCCGTCACGATATTACGCAAACGACAAAGCGAGAAAAGAAGCTGAGCGAAATAAGTGGTCGTAATAAAGCCACAGGCATCTATAATGCCTCGTCTACAGTAAACCATATAAATTATGATCGGTTTGCCTTGTCGCGTGACTCACTAAACGAGTAGAGATTCTAAACTAACTACGCGAGGTCAGTTTTCGCGATGAGATTGCCACTGCACATTGATATCCAGCTGGTCGCCGCGTCGGTTATTGCCGGCGTTTTAACCAGTTATCTAATAAAGATACAAAGGTAGGGCGATAATGAGAACGCGGTAATTAATCCGCTATGACGAGACGCGCCTCCGACGCGGGATTTCGTAAAGCGCCTCGCCTGGATTTTATCGCGTGTAGCGTCTCGGCTCTCGCGATAAAATCCACGCTATTATATACACGCTATTATGTGCGGCCGTTTTGCGTGGTCATCCCAAGTGGCCGACGACGCGACGGGGCGATCCATCTTGGCTCGAGCGAGCGCGTGACGATCACTGGTATAAGCACGTGCTCGGTATCAATTATCGTCCAAGTGAGTAAAGCGACCGCGCGAGCGAAGGAATCCCGCGCGCGAATCAGCCGGATGAGAGCGATCCGTCGGGAGCGTCGTATAGGGAAAGATGCCAGGGACCGCAGGATCAACGATCCTGGTAAACCAGGACAGACGATTGCCAAGCACATTCCGAAAACGTTCCGTTTCAAAACTCGCGTAAATTAAATTAATAAATAAATCGCGCGGCGAAGAATATCGCTCAATCGGTTACAATCACGATTGTCGAGCGAGAGAGAGGCGAGGCTTCCAGCTGAAATCGAGGGTATTATTCATACGACTAGTTTACACCGTTTGCGACAGAGTTTTACCGAGAATTTTGCGCGAGCAAAATGTCGTTTATACAGGTGCGCGGGTGATCTCATCTTTGGCACATTCTTCAGCCGCGAAACTCGTGCGCGATGGGAAAAGAGATTCATCTTTCCGCACCGAACGAGATATGATTTATGACGATCGAACGTGTAGGAATATATCGTATATCGTCGGGGAAGTTGTCGAAAACTTTCCGAGGCATCGCGACGAGCTCCCAGCGGGCGTTTCCTCGAGCGATTTACTCTCAACCTGTCGCGTTTATCGGCGAACAAAAATGCGATTGTTCGCCGCTCGAAGAATTCGCGCCGCTACGATACGCGCAAGTTGAAACTTGGAACGACACGCGAAACGCTGAACGATGCGAATTTCGTCGGTGCCGACGCGTTGCCAAAAGTTTTCACGGATGAGACGTTTATCGCGAGCGGGTCCGATTGCTGATCGGTAAATCCCCGTCGCCACGTTGTCTGCCGCGCCGCTGAAGCGGTCCCGCGGCCCGCGGCGGTTTCCGCTGCGATGCTGCGAACGACTTTGTTATTGGACTCGAGCCGGAGTCGAGCCAAGTTGTGCAAATGTCGCCTTTAGGGAGAGAAAAACAAATAACGCGTGTATTTGTTGCTACGATTGTCAAAGTCTGTCGTGCGGGACAGTCCAAAGTCCAACAACCGGCCCGTCTGTTTGTTGGTCGATCGAGCGACTGAAAAAGTGACGACTCCACATTTTTAAAAAATTGAAAATATAACATAAAGGTGCCAATTCGCGAGACGCTGAAAATGAGCGTCAACAAGGTGAACGTGGTGATTTCGCAAAGAAATGAAGTTGAATTTGTTTAATATTCAGCGTCGTCGCTGAATCGTCGTTAATCATCCCAGTCAAACATAGACTTCGAAATACGTAAAATATTATTTTCAAGTAATATCTTTAAGTAATATTTTATGGATATATAAATAAATATTTCTGAAGATTTTTATTTGCTGAAAATGAGCGTCGAGCGTCAACGTGAAAAGGCACCTTAATAACATTGCCTTAATACGAAACAAATCTTTTTATTCCCAATTATATTAATAATGGACTATCAGCACGCGATGCGCGACCAACGATCCGACCAACTTCCCCCTTTTCTGTATGTACACGGTACACGAGCGACTTTATTTATTTCGCGAATATCTTCCCTCTTTCGATTGCACAACGCACAATTGTGACCAATTAGTTGACATTCTCGCACGGGTTTTCCACTCGTCGTGCCGCGGTATACAATTAGACGGATATACACTCGGCAATTACTATATGTATACCCGCACGTTTCGAACACATACCTCCTTTCCCTTTCCGCGAGAATGACGTAGCTCGTGGGCATTCACAGATCGTACGTCGACACGGTACACGAGCAAGAAAATCGTTCGTCTCGATGGCAGATAATAAAACGAGCGACGACAATATATCGCTTACGCACAGACGGCGGTTTCGCGCCCGTTATCGCGGATTGCGTTACTAACCGCTCACGCTACTAACGTTGTGCAATAATAATCGTATAGAAGCGATCACGCTCCATTGAAGATCGGCAATACTGGGTGCTTCCTGTTTGGTAGTGCGGGCCGACACGAGCCGGGTTTGCCGTATTTCCATTTCTGTTTTCCATTTAATCCGCGTCATTGTGTGTCAGCGAGCGCGCGACTCCGCTTTGACAGTGAGTCGGAGGAAATCAAGGAAAAGAAAACGTGGACCGAAATCTAATTCTGTTTATTAAATTAATATAATATATTAATACGATATGAGGTAAATGTATCAATGCCTGGACACGTACCAATGTCCGGACTTTTTTATCACTTTAGTCCTTAAATAAGTTATAACGCGAATTAAAATCAAAGGATCAAAGATAAAAATATTTTTCTTGTATTATATATTTTTATCTTTGATTTTAATTCGCATTATACTTATTTAAAAACTAAAATAATAAAAGTGTCCACAGACATTGGTCTTAAGTGTCCTGAGATTGGTACATTTACCTTAACCCTTAAAGCGCACACCTCCGAAAAATTACGTAAAGCGCACTGGAGATATGAGATACCCCAGTGTCTTTAAGTATGTACTGTAACGACGCTATTGACTATTTTATTGCATAAAAATTTCTGAATGAAGTTAAAGTCATGTATTTTAAGGATAAACAAAAGTTATAGCGATTTCTTAAAATTAACATTGTTTGAAAAATTATTGAAAAAGGCATTTTAATGGGACTTATCAAAGCACAAAGTTCGGAGTGGGGTATCCTACACCTATAAAATAATTATACAATATTAATATATTAATAATATTAAAGTAAAGTAACATTAAAAGGCAGAATTTGATTTTGGTCCATTTTTTCCTTCTATTTTCCACACATATACCTATTCACGTTGGAGTCTATTCATGCCATTCAGTAAATCATGGAACTCGATGAAAATACACAGTCTTTAAAAAAAAGGAGATATAAATGTAATCTCTTCGGAAATAAATATTAAATTCCTTCGAGCGTACAGTTATATACGAGCACGTGTGCCTAACCAAGATAAAAGGATTAAAGCTCGGCTCACGTCTAATCAATTACACCACGAAATCAAAGTACATTGATTTTACGTATCTCCAAGTTCCTCGGTAGGTATGTCGCGCGCGTCTTTTTCTATATGTACGTGATAAATGCTCCTCACTCGTCCACGGGAGTTAATCGATTCGAGCTAATTCAAGTCGACGCGAGTGACGTTAAAAGTTATGCAAATGGAAAGCGCCCACTTGCGTTTTCGCCGTGGGTTTTCGATAAAACAAGAGCTAGCGATGTCGCTCGGCCTCGCCGTTGTCTCGCGATCCCGTTGCCTCCGCCTCTTCTCCGCCTTTAGCGGAGCGCAGCTCGGTTTATTAATCAATTATTCGACGATAAATGCGCCCTTATTATTAGCCGTCGCCTCCGGGGGAAATTGATTCGGCGCGACGTACAAGAAAGTAATAAAAGCCCTGACCTTGCCTCGCGTGTTGTCTCATCAAAGATATATACCTGCGTCTCTCTCGGGCGAGCGCTCCGGGAAAATCCTCTCTAGAAGCCGAGCCGCGACCAAGTTTTACGAGTTCAACAGCGATAGCGCTTGAATATTTTATTTGCTCGTTTACACGTGCGAATAAGCGACACTCGTGAAAGAGTGCACTCGGAGAGCGAGCGCGTTTCTCAAGCCTCGAAATTGTGCGTTCGGTTCCGACGGCGTGTCCGTTAAGATATATAATTATTTCTACGTTTTTGTCGCGATATATAATTAATGTCTGTTTTAAAAAATAGATATGTATAAAATTGCATTAAGAATATCGTGCGTTAGCATGACATATTGAGCAGAACCAGTACCGACCTACAGGAATGGCTAAAAATGACTCAAATTGAATATAATTTGGCACTACGAATTTAACAGTGTATATTTGTTACTATATCTTGCGTTATCAGTTCTGTTTTCTCAAAAACAAGATTACTTCATTTAAGTCTTAATATTTTTTTTAAGTATTCTGTATTATTTTCGTTACTACATAACTGTTCAATTTGAGTCATTTTTAGCCATTCCTGATGTAGGCGGTACTGCTTCTACTCAATATGTCGTTAATTTAACTAAAACAATGGAGTTGAAATAATACTGTTTTATGTTAAAATAATACATTTTACACGCACAGTAGTTAAAAATAACAAAATGTTATTTAACTCAAGGTTGAAATTTCATTCTTCAGTATTTAACGATGCGTCTTGTCTTCAAAGAGTCTCCACTTGTTCATCACCATTGTCAACGCACTCTTGGTATCTTCTCCAGGTGGTCTCCAGAGCCCCGAAGCACATTTCTTTGGGCATTGTTGCAATCACATTTGCAATTTTCTGCCGGAGATTCTGCACATTGCAACGATGGTGAACAAGCGAAGACTGTTTGAACACAAAATACATTTAGTTTTAGATATATTATACCATGTTTAACCATGTTACGTCAAGACCCGCATGCGTTTATCAATGTATCAGACTGCATGGCCCACTAACATATGTTTTATTCTTTGAGTTTGATTTTTCGCGAGCCTTTACATAAACTAATTATATTCTTTTCTAAAATACATTTGTTACTATGATAAAAATGTCTTGCTAAAAAGTGTTAATATTTTATTAAAGCACTCTATTCATCTACCGCTAACAAGATTCAGCCCGATGAACAGATAAGTTTAAATAATCGAGTTTCTCACAGTAACAATTCTAGCGTTTCACGGAAGCTCGCGGACGGACACAGATACGTCCTCGTTCGCTGGAAACCCGGCTAAATTGTAAACACGCGGCAAAACGAAAGGCGACACGAGTTAAAACATTTATACGAAACATTTATACGTCGGTCGAAATTGAAACGTTAACGCACGCAAAAGGGGCACGCCTCCCGTCGGCTCCGAAAAGAGGAAACGTCCGCCTACGCGGGCCTCGTGAGGCTCGCGGCTGGCGCACGCGAGCCGCAGCCACGTGTTACGATAATTAAGCGAGGTATAATCGATAAACGCGACGAATCAATGCCAACGTCCGACGTCGGTCGTCGCGGTCGTAACAGTCTCGGCAGGACGGAGCCGAGAGACTCGAGAGAAAGAGAGAGAGACAGAATCACAATGTACAATCCGCTTTGTCATATGTCACATGTTATCCCGTATATTATTCGTTACCTTAGGCTGAGAGCGTGATCGATCGAGACGGACTCCCCGACGTCGTCGTCAATTTATAAACGGGGGGGGGGGGGATCCCCCGCGGCCGATCGTGTCCTCGTTCTCCTCGGCCGGCTTCTCGCCCTCGCAAGGAGAGAGAGGGGGGGGGGCACGAGGGGCACGGTCGGAGCTCCGGCGGCTCCGGTTTTACGCGAGTCGCACCGACGGGAGATTCCGGACGTGCCGGTCGCCCCGGGATGGCCACCAGGTCGATCGATCCTCCTCGCGCTCGCATTCGCACTCGCGCTCGATTCGCGCGCACGCAGCGCGCGCGCGCGCGCGCTGGTGGAGGTTAGGTCTCTCGCAACGTCGAGAGCAACGACGCCGTGTCACCTCCCGCTGCGAGCGACAGCCGACAACCGCGCGCGCGCCTCCGAGACGCGAACGACGAAGACGACGGCGACGACGAGCGAATGGCGAGGCGCGGACAGGCGGACAGACTGCGCGAGCGGAAGCGTCCCCGCGTAGTGTTGGCACGTCCTAGTCTTCGTGTCTTTTCCGGAGCGGCGGCGGACCTACCGCCACTCCGTCGTCCGCCGGAGGAGATATCGACCGGCCGGTCGCGAGCGGACACGCGAGAATTCACCGCCGGACGGATAAAACGTAACGGCGTACGCGTGTATACGTGTATACGTCGGAACTTGGATCAGGCACTGTCGTCGAGCGGGGCCCTGATGGCCCGAAACACCATAGCTTCTAACCTCGAAAGAGACGTTCTCTTTCTCTCTCCTTCTATTTCTCTCGTTTCCTCGATTCCTCGCTGACGACCGAATTGTTCGTTTCGCACCTCCGCGGACTCGCGCACTCGGACACTCGGAGCAACAGCAGCGAACACTAGGCAAAATACACCTACCTATTGAGAGGGATAGAGGAGGGGGAGCGGGCTATGATGCCACGCGCCTATAGGCCGTGACACGGCCGGCAACGTACGACGCGCATCCTCCTCGGAGCACCGGCGAACGCCGACTGTCGTCGTCCGTCGCGTCGTCGTCCCGCGCGCCGCGTCGTCCTCGGCAGCATTCAAGACGAGTCTATGAGGAACCAGCTGAGTCGTACCGCCGCCGCCGTCGCCGCCACTACCGCCACCGCCATCAACGCCGTCCCGACCGCCTCCTCCGCCTCTGGCTGGCCGCCGCGCTGCCCCGCGCTCCGCTCCGCTCCGCTCTCGAGCTACCGGCGGCGAGTATTCCACGTCCGCGTCGTCCGCGTTCGTTCCGCGGTGGCACGGCTCGGCAGCAGAGCACGATTACGACACACCCGACGCGAGCGACGCGCCTGCATCCGGAACGACGGGACACCAGCGGGGGCCCCCTCGCGCCTGTGATGCGCGCCTGGCCTGGCGGAGTAGCGGAGCACGCGCGAAAATACGCGTGCGGGGGAGATCCGCGTCTTCGGCCGTTCGGCGGAGAGAGAGAGAGAGTGAGAAACGGGATCGAATGGGAAGGGGGTAGACCGGAAAGGAGAGGAGGCGCGCCGCCACCGTCGCCAAAGACGGCGCGCGGCGCCACCGACCTGACTGACCGATTGTTACCCCTGGTTATCTCTTTTATCGGCGACGGAGCGCCGCTGCTTTATCGACGACGCGCGGAGTCCCTGGCAGTCCCCGGAACTCCGCGAATTTACTTGAATTGTTGATAATTTCGTGTAATTGCGCATTGTAGAAACATCCTGTAATTTTAACAGTGATAATAAGCGGAAACAGGGCCGATATGATGTATTACATACATACAATCAATTAGAGAAAAAATGACATTTACGGTTTGGACTGGATCTTAATTGGTACTCCTGGATGGAAAATTTTAGTCTCAGATTTCTTGGAAAACTTTAAGACTTTCTCAGAATTTTAAGATTTTTTTAATACAAATTGGGACTTTTTTTTCCCAGAAAAATTCAGATAAAATAATTGATGCTAAAAATAAAGAAAATTTTATAATTTGTTCTTTTCCTCTTTAATATAATTGTAAATCAATATTCTTTCCGTCGTATCTGTTAGCGTTCCTTCGAAATCATATCATAGTTGAAGTCGGCGACGCTATTTTTCTCAACGATATCGCGAAAATAATTAGTTATTTCCGGCGTTTATTAAAGTCATCAGTTTTAAAATATGATAAGATATCGTCGTCGGCTTAGGTTTTTTTTCAAACGTTGAGCGCACAGATCAAACGTATATATTAATGCTTGCGAAGCGTAACTCGACGATGAGACGATCGCTTGGAAATATGAGAACTTATAATTGTTACGGTTCTTGCTTATCATTACCAGGTATTGCCGGTCGACTTATCCGACTTTTATCCCACCGCCTCGTTCAACGACGCACGGCCGTTGCATCAGAAATTAAACGCGATGAAGCGCACAGCGATGGCCGATCAGGCCGATGGGCTGTATTCGGAAAAGGAAGGCTCAGAAAGCGCTCGGCGATTCTTCAAATATGACTGGTTCCTGCCTTTAGCTCCACGTCGGCTCGAAGTGTACAAACCAATCACATTAAAGAATCACCGAGTCACTTATTGGGAGCCATATATAAAGCGCGGGCCGGCAAATTGACGACAGTGGCAGTGCCGGCAGTGGTGGTACAGTGGCCGACGGCAGCGAACGTTTAGCTCGTACGAGTGATCATCCGCGTTCGGAGCCAAGTTGTACCTTGTACCTCGAGAAATCAAGTAAAATTCGTTATTTATATAAAATGTTATTTTATCGCGTCATAGAAGATAAACGCTGACTCTCGCTTTTTCTTTCAGTAGCAATTAAATATCTCGCTCGGGGCTCTCCGATAGGATCTCTCTCGCGACACGCGGCCGGATCGTGTGCGCACGTGGCATCAAAGGCAGCCGACGTTGGCAACCGCTCTACGGCAAGATGTGCGGAATCTGGGCATTGTTCGGGCTGGACAAGCAGCCGTTGACCTGCATCTGCGAGAACTTCAACAAGATATCGCACCGCGGGCCGGAGGCATTTAAAATAGAGTTCGACAATAGAGTCAAGGTGAGAACGTTGGAGCTTATTTCAAACTCTCGCTTCGTTCGTCGCGCAAGTTATTCGTGTTAATGTTTCTTTTTTCATTCGTCACGCAAGTTATTCGCGTGTTAATGTTTCTTTTTTTTTATATTTATTTTGCAGAATGGATATCTGGGATTTCACAGGCTGGCCATCGTCGACAGCCTCTACGGAATGCAGCCGATGAGGATACTCAAACATCCGCATCTGTTCCTCCTGTGCAACGGAGAAATATATAATTGGGATAATGTAACGTATCGCTTATCCTCGCTATATCTGCCTCGTGTTATCGAAATGAGAAAAAAAAAAAAAAAAATGTGTAACGTTGCAGTTGCGAAAACAACATGATTTCGAGTACGCCACTAAGTGCGACGTGGAAGTGATCATGCATATGTATAACTACGCCGGCGCTAACAATGTCGCTCAAAGTCTGGACGGGGTGTTCGCATTTTGTTTGATGGACGTCTTAAACAGGAGGATACTAATAGCCAGGGATCCGTACGGCGTAAGACCGCTGTTTAGATTGCGTTCAGAAAATGGGCAACTGGCCATCTGTTCGGAGAGCAAGGTGTGCATTGACAAGCAGATTATTTCTTTCCTGATTATTAATGTTTCTGTTAATTATAAATAGCACGTACTTAAAACACAACTATACGTTTTAGGGTTTGATGGCAATATCCAAACACATAAGTGGCAATTGGACATTGGAGCCATTTCCTCCAGGACATTATGAGATATATGAAATTTTGGACGATGGTCGGACAAAGCTTTTGGAGAGCTGCCGTTACCACAAACCCGGCGGCAAACCTTCTTTCCGTTGGTATATCTCTTGGGGGGGAGAGAAATTATGATATTCAGTTTGGGGGGGGGGGGATAGAAAATTGATCTATCATTAAACACAGATAAATTTATTTAATCGCGCAATATGTACACCGAAAGTATAGGGATATTTAATAATGCTTCATTTGTTGCAGCTTTGAATCCGAAAGATGTTCCTGGCAACATCCGAAAGCTGCTCTCAGGAGCCGTAGAAAAACGATTAATGACCGATAGACAGATAGGGTGTCTATTGTCAGGTGGATTGGATTCGAGCTTGATCGCCGCTTTGTTGATGAAACTTGCGAAAGAAAACAAACTGCCGTATCAAATACAAAGCTTCGCGATAGGTATGGGTGATAGTCCGGATATCATCGCTGCTAGACAGGTTCGTAGAAGCTTTCATACTTCTCTTATCTTTCACCATTGGCAATTGCATGAAGGATAAGAAATTTCTTATGTAACAGGTTGCACGCCACATCGGGACTAAACATCATGAAGTTATCTTCACGCAGCAAGATGTAATCGATGTACTGAACGATGTTATATATTCTTTAGAAACATATGACATCACCACTATTCGCGCTTCCATTGGGTAAAACACTTTATTAGTCAGCGTCCAATTTGTGATTTAAGCTTCCAAACTATTCAATATTACAAAGAAAGTCATAAGAAAGGACAAATTTGCATGTAATTCTTGCAATTTTCTTTTTCTTCTTGCTTTCTTTTAGATCAAAATTAATAAACTACCATATAATGACGGAACGTTCTGTACATAATATTGAAACTTTACTTATAGGATGTACCTCCTTTCGAAATATATAAAACAAAACACCGAGACAACGGTGATCTTCAGCGGAGAAGGTGCGGATGAGCTGGCGCAAGGCTACATTTACTTCAGAGATGCACCTAATGCGAGAGACGCGCACAACGAATCTCTTAGATTGTTACATGACATATATTTATATGATGGTTTAAGAGCGGATAGAACAACCAGTGCCTTCAGTTTGGAGCTCAGAGTTCCATTCTTAGATCTTCAGTTTACCAACTATTATCTGTCGTTGAGCCCTGAGAGTAGACAACCGCAAGGTAGAGCAATGGTCACTTAAATATTGTTACAAACGATAGATACTATAGATTAAATTATTAATTTGTACGTGAATAACAGTTTTGGCGTGATAGAGAATAAATACTACGTATAGATCGTATTTATATGTGCACAGGTGGAATTGAAAAGCATTTGTTACGATCTGCATTCGATGGGACTGGTTTACTGCCCGACAATATACTTTGGAGGCATAAAGAAGCGTTCAGTGACGGCGTCGCTTCCATAAAGAAATCTCTTTTCCGAGTAATTCAAGAGATCGTGGAAGATCGTGTTTCTAACGAGGACTTGGAAAACGCTGGTACTAAGTATCCCCATTGCACACCGAAAACGAAGGAAGCATACTACTACAGGTAATGGAATATAGAGATATCTTTAGTGAGTAAACTTGTTATCGTTCGACCGAACTGGATAATGTACTTTTTTTTTCTTGCTTTCGTTAGACGTGTTTTTGAGTCGCATTACGAGGGGCAAGCGGAAAATTTTACACCTTACTTCTGGATGCCACGCTGGGTGAAAAATATTACTGACCCATCTGCACGATTTATTAAGCATTACGCTGCAAAGGAAGAAAATTGGCTTAAAACGTAAAAAAAAAGAGAAATTAAAAACGTTATATATAATATATGTATACTACGTTTATTATGTCAGATGTATTGAGATATTAATATATAAAGATCTTATTAGGTCTTTTTATTGAATATTTAGTCTCATTCCGTACATATTTGCGATTAGATAAAATACGAACGATCTCGGAAAACGTAACTTCTGCAAGCAAGATGTTTATATAAGTTCTAAATGCGTTGATGTTAACGATTTATCTTCTCTGCAACTCTTCTCAATTAAGATGATCCTAAAATCGTCTGTAATACCGAATACTTTTTAAAAATACGCATCTTATTAGCTTTATAAATTTAAAAATCCTCCAAAATTAAAGTACATGCACTGATACACTTTCCACGCCGGTCGAGAAGGAAAATAATTTCAGAAATGCAGACTAAGAATAATATAAGACGTCAACTCGTTACAACACACATTTGCTTCGTATAAAAATTAAAAATTCTACAATTTGTTGTTGTACAAAACGAGACCGATGTGGCGTGGAGAGTGGATTACATGAAGAAATAACATACCGTTCTCAGAATAATTAGGCTTAGACACCTAGCAAAAAAGATATATATTTAAAAAAACGATTAAAGTGAATGTGTACCAGAATATATTTACCATAGGGTGTATTAGTGCATAATTTAAAAAATTTTAAATCTGTACAACCAAATAAAAAAATTAATTCGTTTTAAAAAAAGTCGCGTCTGATCGGTAACCTTTAGACTAATTAAAAAAAAAAAAGAAAAATTAGAATCGTAAAAAGCAATCATACCCCTGGTGGGACTCGAACCCACAATCCCCGGTTTAGGAGACCGATGCCTTATCCATTAGGCCACAGGGGCTATTGACGTTCACTCCGCCTTGCAAGGGTACATATTGTGGACATTCCGCTTCCACGGAAAACGGGAGTGCAAAAAAGGAAATTATACATAAGTACGTGTCACACATGCAAAGATCGGATCGTCATCTCGCGAGAAAAGGGGCGAGACAACGGATTTTACCTTTATACGTATATCGTTAAAAAGCCATAACGCACGGGGAAACGGAGGTAGCGAGCGAGTCGACCAATCGCAATCGAGATCTCTCGAGAGCGCGGGCGGCCGCCTCCGAAATGTCAGCTGTGATTGGTCGATTCGCTTGCTGCGCGCGAGTCTCGCCGGAGCAGACCGGAGTCACCGGTGTCACGTGCGGCCCAATTGTTTCTCAGCGCCCTTTAAAGTTTGTCGTCACGTTGTTGTTAACCCCAGATTTACGACGTTGCGAATGACCGGCATTTTTCGATCGAGGGGCGTAGCGCGAGCAATTTCATAATCTGCCTGTACGCAATACGTCTCGCTTTTTTTTAAATATAATTTGGGATAGGTTAGGTCCTATCGCCGGGTCTCCAACTGATCGCTCCAGTTTTTTGGCACGAAACTTCTGATTATTTGAATTATGCTGTTCTTTTAAATTTGTTCGATTCTCTTAATGAATTTATACACTTTTATTGTTCTACCTACATCCCGCAACGTGTGCATGATAAAGTTAGGTTGGTTCTGAGTCGACGAATATGATCACTGCGCGCGCTACTGGATTTCTTTCCAGGTACCTGTATCGCGGGGCTCGACGTTGTTTAAACGGTAATTACACGATTGTCATATAAATCTTGAGGAAACGCGCGATTGAAAACTTGAAGATTGCGTAATACCTTATCTTACACATCTGTATTTATTTATATATTTATATATTAGCTTTGTCTTAAATCTATTTATTTTGTATATCTATTACATATTTATTTATACAAATAAATAGGTATATAAATTACCAATTTGTTTATACTAGATTTATATTAGTTTTGTCTCAAATCATTGAAATCTGTCAAATACTGTGAACAGTGATTTTGACCCTAACGTATATTCCATTATGCGCAGATTATGCAACCTCGACCCCGGTGGAAACGCGAAACGAAGTTAAAAACGAGAGGCACATTGTCTGGCTCGATATGGAGGTGAGCAATTGCTGCGAGTTGTCTAACGACGCGAAGAAGGGAGCGAATTAAATTGGAACTGGATTTTTCAGATGACCGGGCTGGAGGTGGAAACGTGTCACATCTTGGAAATTGCGTGCTTCGTAACTGACGAACAGCTAAAGCTCGCGAGCGATTACTTGAACATCGTTATAAATCAGCCGGATAAAGTCTTGGAGAATATGTCCGATTGGTGCAAGTTGCAACACAGAAAGGTAATTGCATCTCCTTTTTTTTCTCTCGAACACTTTTTGCACTGTATGACCGTTAATCGGCGTTGTTAAAATTAATTTCAGACCGGCTTAATCAATGAATGTCGAACGAGCAAGACTACGTTGGAGGAAGCGCAGCGAAGGACGTTGAGTTTTTTGGAGAACCACGTCCCGAAAGGAGTGTGCCCGTTGGCTGGAAATTCAGTTTACATGGACAGCATATTTCTGAAGAAGTACATGCCGTTGGTTTACAATCATTTGCACTACAGGATTATCGACATTAGCACGATCAAAGAATTGGCTAGGTAGATTTAGATAATTCCATTATAATTTGCATGTGTTAATATACATATTCTTCGTAAAGTTGAAAATAATGTGTACATTGTATGAACTCTTTTTTATGTTCAGGAGATGGCAACCGAACATAAGTAAAGCAGCTCCAAGAAAGCAACATTCTCACAGGGCTCTGGACGACATAAAAGACAGTCTGAACGAGCTTCATTATTATAGGAAAAATCTGTTTGTATCATAAACGTAAAGTTTATAATAAAAATGGACGTGTCGTTCATTTTCTTGTTGCCATGATTAAAACGACCAGCATTTAAGTGATCGCACCTGCACTTATGTACATGTGTAAAACATACAAAGGATGGATTTTTCCATTGCATTGCGGTCTCCGAGAAACTATTATAAAAATAAGAAGGAACACGTATAGGTGTGTGAATTTATCAGAATATTTTTTCGTAATGCACCTAGCGTACACGATAGTTTAGCAAATAAAATAATATACATTATTTGATCATAGTTTTGACTGATAAATAAATTTCGAACAATAAATAATACATAAATATTTATAATAGTGAAACTATAACAGAGGAGATTCGTTTTTAGATGGATTATCTATAGAAGAAATTATCTCTCAACACACACGGACACGGCGCGTGTGCGTCAGTGTACGTGTTTCTTGCGGTTGGGGATTCATGTAGGTCAGTGCGGTGTTGGTCAGGGTGAGTGCATCGGGGTGCGGCGCAGGCGGCGGGGGGCACGCGAACGGCAGTCGACGGTGGTGACGGGTGACGGTCGGCGGGAGTAACGAGTAACACTGGAGTCGCCAATCGGGACCGATCGAGAATGCTCGCAGCTGGTTGCCGCGGCGTGAGAGAGCGAAAAGGGTGATGGCGAGTAGCGATGGTAGTGGTGCTGGGTGACGGTGGTGACGACCGCCGCGAATTTTTTTTTACCGATGGCTCTGTCCGAGGTGCATAATTTGGCCGCGATTATCGGCAGCAATGCTTTCGCCGTTGGCAAGGTGAGAATACATTCTCTTTCTCTTTCTCTTTCAACACACATACGTATATCCCTTTTGCCTTCGCCGAACCGAAAGATCGAGGCTTTCTCTCGCGGTTTGATGGAAAGAAGTATTACATACGTGCCAACAGTTTATTCTAACTACACCGCGTTACACCTCTCCACACCTGAAATCACACATTCGGCGGAGAGAAAAGGAAGAGGAAGAGGAGTAGAAAAAAAGAATCCATTGTGCGACGGCGACGGCCCGTACGTCCGACGAAGGAGGGCGGGCGGGGGCGATCCGCGTTTGTTTGGGAGCCGTTACCGTTAACGGCCAAAAAGGCGAGGGAGAAAACGCCCGCGAGAGTGTAAATGGTGACGATATTGGCCCGCGATCCGTCCTCGCTCGTTACGATCGGCGAGGAGCGCGGATACTCGCGGTGTATTATTGGATCTGCCCCTCGGTGTTGCGTGCGTGTGTGTGTGTCTGGTCTGCCTGCCTGCGTGCGTGTTTGTGCGCGCGCTCCCCCGTCCCCGTGTCCGGGCCGAGTCGCCGCGGCCCCGTTCGCGACAGCGATAGCTCCGACGTTGCGCGTTCGATTCGTTATTAAGATTTTATTTCGTCGGTCGTCGCGAGACGCGGTCGCGTAGCATTCCCGAGCCGCCCTCGTCCTCGCGCCGTTCGAAAACAATCGATAGATTCTCTCTCTCCGCCGCCGCTGCCGCCGCCGCCGTCGCCGAGCGCGATGCGAGTACCGTGACCGAGTACTATATAGGTAGGGCGAAGGGCAGGGTGAGATCTCTCCCTGCGGGAGTTTACGTTACGGTCGCTCGTGTCTCGGTGTCGCCCGCTGCCCCGCGCCGCGATAAGTACCGTGGCCCCAAATCCCAGAGATCTCACGTCGTCGTATTGCTTTCCGTAGAATAACGAGACCGAGCGTGGTGTCAATATGCTGGAAGTACCGCGGAAGGTCTACTCTAGGGACGTGCACGGCCTGGAGTACAATCATTGGGGCTACGACTTAACCGGCTGCGGCACGAAGAGAAACGTAAGTTTTTTTTTTTTTTCACGAATTTTTCCTCGCGCGGACGACGCAGCGCGAGGGTCGTCCACAATTTCGTCGCGCGCGTTCAACTGCGACTCTGTTTAGATGAATGTCGAGGACGAGGATAGTCAAGATTTGAACAATCCCATGGTCAACGACTTGGTATCGAAGATCCTCGACGAGGACTCCATTACCATTGACACCTGTCACAACAGTTACAACAGCGGGGGCGCGCATTATCAGACGGACTACGCCAATTCCGTACGCTCCAATCAGGTCGCGGACAGCTTGGACGCCTACCTGACCGACGTCGATCACCTGGTCGCGCGTTATCCGCTGTCCAGCAAGTTGCACAACATCTACAACAACGCCAAGAGCGAGTACCATCATTCCAACAATTTGTGCAACGACCTGAAAACGCTGAACCTCGGTACGTGCATGCGACAGTCCGTGGAACAGGGCAATGCGTGCGGCAGCGACATCGCGCCGAGCCCGTACTCGTCCGACCCGCGGTCGCACGTTGTACACGCGAACGACGCCGGCATGTACACGAGCGGCGGCGGCGGCAACATGCCGTTGTGCAACGATCTGTTGACGACCACGAGCGGGGCGGCGAGTTACGGCAAACAGTCCGGCAACTGGACGGAGCCCCTGTTAACCCCCTCGATGGGATGCCGTGCCGAACTTACCGGGAACTACTCGCGAATCTCGAATTGCGCCAAACCGGATCTGAATTTTAACGTTACCGCGTTAACCCTGGCACTGGACTCCCCGAATCCCGTTCCCATCGGCGAGCTCGAGTATCACAGCAGCATGCGGCAGAACGTATCGTCCAACTCGTACGGCGGCAATACCATGGTGAACATGCACGACATGTACGGCGTTACTGGTAATCCTAGTCAGGGTCCTGGCTACAGGCCCAACTCGGCGATGACCGATCTCAGCGTCGATTCCGGCTTCCTGTCGAACTCGCCGTTGCAGCACTTCTCGCCCGCCGACACGGCTCTGCACACCTGTTTCGGGAGCGGGATGCAACGCAACGGCATGGGTGACTTCAAGGACGTTCACGACACCGCCAGATTAAATATGACGAGTATCAGCATACCGAACGAGCAGATACAATTCTTGCAGTCGCAAGCTCGTAGCTACAAACTGGATCAAGCTGTGGACCAAGATTACAAAAACTTGATCGATTATTATCCCTCCGGTACAAACAACTTTGTCGCGTCCTCGGCGAGTAATTTGGACACGAACGAGAACGTTTGTTTCCCTAGTGACTGTAGAATGGATAATAGCCTGTTAAAGATGATCAATCCGAAATCAAAGTCCATCGAAGCCAAGACGTACTCACCGATAGGATTTCCGAAGAATCTGAGTTCGCGCAACTTGTACCAGCCTATCGCTAAGTACGGCTGTCACAATTATCAACAGTACACTGCCAACAGTGGCGACGCTCTGAAAATACTGCAACAAAATTCTACATTCTATCACAACGATTTGAAGCAGCCTAAGGTCAACGCGTACAAACTTGATGGATTCGACTTGGGCAAAGAGATCGCGTTTCCCTCGGGAAGTCACCTGACCGATCGCATCACGGGATCCACCCTGGACAAGGATGCCTTCAATCATATTCTGAAACAACGACACCATATATCGAAAATGCAGAGCATTCCAGCTGGGATTCCGCCTCCCGATATTATTTTCAACTCGGGAATGATATCGGGCACGAATACCGTGAGATCGGGAGCGTTTCCATCGGTGATGCCAGTTCCTGTTCCGGTACCGGTTCATCCTGTCCCGCGACTGTTCTCCGCGCTTTACGGAGGAAACTTGAGTTTTAGAAACGGCAGTGGCGCGGCCAGAAAGACTGGTCCCTCGAGTATATTGCATTTCAATCTTGAACAAACGTACGAGCAATTCAAGCAGTTGGAAAAAGAGCGCAAGAAATGCGAGGCTGGATTGGCCGCGCATTTCCCGGGGAAACGAGTGACCAGCGCGAATAACATACCCATCCCGCGTCTTCAGGGAAATCCGTCGAGGGTGGATCGTTTGATAATCGACTACTTGAGGGAACACGCTCGTGTCATTACGTTGATAGCAAAGGTGAGTAGACAATATCGCCTACAAAGATTTTTTTTTCTTTAAATAAAGGGAACATTTTTAATTTGTTTTTTAATTTTTTTGTTACGCAGTGTATTAAATAAATACTCGATTTTGTGAAACAGATGGAACGCCTACGTGGGACCACGATGAATCAACGCGTGCACAAGGCCATGGAATATTGGCTGGAAGCTATCAAGTACGTTCAAGAGTGTCGCAAGCAAGAGATCGCGAATGCTATCAAACGTCAGAAGGAGAACCCACATTGCATTTTAGCGTATGACGACAATGGTGAGTGTCATAGTTAAGCAAGAGCTCTTATAAATATTTTTAGAAAGCATGTGGTATGAATTGTTCACGGACAATTAATTTAACTCCTGAATAAATTCTTGAGAGTTCTACCGATTATCTTTACTTACGAAGCAATAAGAAAAGTAAATAGTGAAATAAAAATTTGACAATTTTCTAAGTGCTTACATATTTAAATTTTAGAGCTAACTTTTGAAAATTTATCGATGGAAATCTTAAAATTCGTAAAAGATCTGCTTTAAACGACAGAACTTCTTTCAAAATTAATTAAAAATTTATAGCTCTTCGGGGAAGGCAGCAATTCTATGATCTTTTTATCTAGTTTTAAAGAAATAAGACAAGAAAGTAAAGCAACAAAGCCATCTCAGCTAATTCGAATACTTATTCGAATACGCGGCAACCACAAATATTTGATTACGTGTCTAATATCGAATATCGCAACTTGTAATATTTATAACACGTGCGTGCGTGTGCGTAGATATTCTGACTCTGGCTGGGAGCGTCCACGAATTGACGAAGGCGTCGCGATACGCGCGGACCGGTATGTATAATGCGCTACAGGCTACACTACTTTATGACTTGGACATAGAGAAGAAAGTCGTCGAGGCTTCTAAGGATCCAGTCTTAGATGCGAAAGCCCACAGCGAAAGTCAAACGAAAGACGGAACCAACGATTACACAAGCAATACCTAGCAAACTTGCGCTGAATCCACTTGGTATCGCTCATCTTAAAGTACTAAATCGAGATTCCAGCAGCTTTTTACTTACGTACAGTATTACGTTTTTGAAAAGCTTTTGCTGGTGTATTACGATTAATTTTACTGTTGAAACAAAATGCCGCCCATTAAATTCAAAACTTTCACTCGCGATACACGAGGTAATACATTACGAATGAAACTAATGCGTAATACGGACATTTGGAGACGCGTGCGACTTTTTACAGGTTAATAACTCCATAGTTTTCTACCGTAACGTATTTTAATGCTTACGACAGTGTAACCGACTTAGCTTTTCGAGAACACCGATTTAGATACGAGAGTTTCGCTGAACTGCCTATCCTTTATCGGTTTATCTCTGTCGCGTGTCAAACAAACAAAAAAATATATATATATATCGCTTTTTTCCTCGACGCCAAATGGAAATAAACCGAGAGCAGTGTCGATCGTGTTTGAACCGGTGAACGGCCGCTATAGCTTCGAAAATCGTTGACGACTGCGTTAACTCGCAGCAAGAACGAGATTGCTCAGATGTATTACATCCTTTAGAATTATGATAGATGAAGCCGTTCTTTGTACAATTACTCGTTTATATACGTATCCTAAGTTAAACGAGATATAGATAGGCAGAGAACGCCGATGTACTCGTTCAAAATGTTCGGCAGTAACTCGTTAGATTAGCTCAATGTGGCCTTCCTTGAATGTGTGACCCATAATGTGGTAGTAGATGTTCCAGGATTTGAATATTTCGCGAAGTGTAAGTGCGATATTTAATCGCATGCAACACGAGCTTATATATATAAATATATAAATATATATATATATATATATATACAGCTTTTATATATATTATATGTAAAAGCTTTAATATATATATAGATATGTATATGAAAATGTTGTTTATATAGTACTAATGTCAGACTTTTCACTACTAATATCGCTCCGGGTGTATCCTCACTTTACGAATACAAAAAAGAAATACATATACGACACGCACATACGCGAAGTAATCATCTACATTACATCTACAGATCTACAGGTATACGCACAACGAGATCAAGCTACACCCGCACATAAAACTTTTGCACAGTACATACGTAAATATGTATATGTGCGTATACGTGTGTAAAACATATATGCACGTATACATAATATAATTTTATGTCGTTGCTGTGTATTGCTGTTCCTGCTTCACAAATCACTCATTGTTATTTCTGTATCAGACGTAACATCGCCCTGCGAGCGGAGCGACGAACATATCGCGATGAAATCGCGAACGATGCGTCGATCGCGTACTTGTAACAGATGCTAATTAGTACCTAAAGTTTCTATTATCTGGCATTTAATTATATAACGAAAGAGTAACCGAGGTCAATCAACTTTCGCGTGCTTTGATCTCTTTCGGTGATAACCGCGTCGCGTATTACAGTAAACTGCGTGTATCGTCATTCCAAATTGTCTTAAATTCACCTTTTCAGGATATAGATTTAGAACAATTTGGAAATAAGCTTGTCGCGAAACTTCAATTTTTCTTAATCGATCACACAATCCAGTACGATTGTTCCGTTTTCGACTACGTCTCTTCTTCGGAACGAACACGAAAATTCGTGCGCTTTAGAAGAAGTACACGCGTGTTTCACGAACGTCCGAATATAAAAAGTCTAGCGTAATACCGTACATCGCGCGTTAATTAAAAAATACAGCATAGATATGTGTTTGACAATCCCTTTTAAACTGCATGCGATGTTATTGCAAACTTATGCACGCATGCACGCACGCGTACACAGTCACGCGCATACAAACGCGTACACATATCAATATTTTGAAACCGGGATGACCGAGTATTGTGTGGCTGTGAAATGGAAACAAGGCGATGTCGTATGATCCAATTTGTGATCAAGATACGAAAGCTAGAAAGGCTCGATGCAAGAAAAACCTAATTTGCAACATTTATTTGGTGTGTAAAATTGCGTTTTTTAAATAAGTTTTGCAAATAATGTACTGTGGAGACTTTGCGACATCCTTGTTCCAAGTTTTTTATTTCACGTTTGATAAATCTGATATAATTTTGAGCTCGATTAGTCTCAAGGAAATATTATGTGACGTTTTAATTATTAAAAATTGACGTAGGACCATTTTCGACTATCTCTTAACATTCAAATCTAAACTCGACGAATCTCTGTACCGTTTTTAACATATTTAATACTAAACTCGGATAAAATGTATTTTCCTCCATGTTGAACCTTCAGGATGATATTGGTCATTCTTGTTTCAAGTAGTGGAAACGACGTATTGTATATGTAAACAGTTGTTTTTTGACCAACGGCATTTACATATCTATTATTTTTATTTAGCAGATTGTATTCTTAATTAAAATAACGTCACTCATCATTGACTTCAATATATTCTTTTTTATTGTAGGAAATATCTCGATGTAGAAAAATATCTTTGTTTAGCCAATTTATCTTGTTAGACAATAGAAAGGGATGTGAATCAAGTTTGCGCAGGTGTTAACTAATATAATGCAGGAGAGTTTGAATTTGTTTTATATTTAATTTGAATTTTACATCTGAAAGGATCGTATTATGGATATATTCAAATCTTACATCAATTTCTAATATAATTGTATTTTTCTAAAAATGTCTTAAAGTCGCTTAAAAGTATTCTCAGGGTTATAAAGTAATATTAACAGTTTGTGATAATTGTGTACGTAAAGTGAACTTCCAAAAATGATGAATTCCAACATGATAATTTAAACGTGTTTGTGACACGTGATATAACAAGTCCGTAGTTATCTGAAAATCTTTAATTATTCGATATTATATTATTAATAATCAGTCAAAGATATATTTCCACATCTTTTGCATTGATGTGATGATTATTTTTTATTAGAAAATTCGAATATCGAATTCTGGAAAGTTTGTGAAACGTGATCTTAGCTGGTTAGCTAATATGTAAATGAGAGAAAATGCCGTTCGTTAAAGACCACCCCGCGTATTGTATGCGTACGTATGTGTATGTGTGCTCGTTGCAGCAAAGTGCAGTATAAGTGCGCCGCGTCCGTATATTGTAAATAAAAAAGCGATGTCGTAAACAATATAGCCGAAAATATGGCAGGAACTGACCAATGTTCGAGGCGCGAGACTGTTAAACTATGATTACCATATATATATATATATCATGAAAAACGACATACATGCATACATAGACCAAACATTTGTATAAGTTTTCACTACGGCAGTGGGTGAATCCGCAAATTGATAATTGATACCGGAAGAGAGTGATAGTAAATTTCTCTAAATACCTTCCTTAAGATTGACTTAAAAAGGTACTAATTATTTAGAGAAACTAATTTACGTCCTAAACTTAGAGACGAAATGCTTGTCTTATGTATATATGTCGTCGTGTAAAACTTAAAAAATGATGCTTTTGCGATGACGCACTTCTCGAGCACTCGTGATAACGATCGTATCGTTATTACGATAACGTTGTATCGAAAACTCATATCTCTCGTCGTAGAAGAATCGCGAATCTCGTCCGCCATTAAATATCGTGAAAGTATTTCTCTAAGCGGCTTTGTAAGATTAATGTTAAATTGATGGTAGCGTGGTAAATTATACGATCGATACGTACTCGGGGCTATCAACGCATAGTTGAGCCGTAGTTATTTTTCTAGTTAGTTTTTCTGTCCTACTTAAAAGAGACTCGTCGTCGTGAGACCGCTACTTGCGATATGTATAATATGTTACCTGCGACTTGCGTTTATAGATTAGCGGTTATTAATTTGACGCGACCACTTTGCCATGTCCTAAAGTGGCATGAGCTTTTGTAGACAATCAGTATTTATACGTTGATAATTAAGATATGTTGATTAATATCTAAAGTTTTAATGAGTTTGTTACATCATATTTTTTTTTTTTTTTTTTTTTTTTTTTTAGAGTCAAGTCCGGTTCAGTTCGTTTTTTACGTACACGTTATGTAAACTTTTTATAGTTGACTTGTAGTAGTTATTTGATGTTTTACTCGTTCAATTGTTCCTATATGGAGAGAATATAAAGAAAATTTTATGTAAACTAGTAGACTTGGCTAGTCGAGCGTACGTAGTATCGAGGTCCTCTTCGACTTACACTGTCTACGTCGTATTCTTTCGTTCTTCCTAATAGCTAGGTACTGCTTTCGAACTCGCCTAAGCGGCTTGTAAGTCTCGGACGGAGTAAAGCTGAAATCGTAGGGCCTCGTGCTATGCTCATTACGAATTTACCATATTATGTGTTTCAGCGCGTAGCGTTATTTATTATATAAATTTATTATTCGTTCGCTTAATATACAATTTCAGATACTCTTTTTGCATTGACACTACGATATCGTACCTCGAATTTAGATGATAGATAGAGACCAGCGTGCAGATATTCGAAGGAGCTTTCGTTCTGTCGATAGATAACGGGGGATAAGTAAGACCGTGGTTCAAGACGATGGTCTTCACGTATAGTACCACGTATTGTGTGTATCATAATTTACGTGTATTCGGCGTAGAGAAAATGTGTAGGTAGGTAATATTGCGAGCAACAATGCGAAGCGAAAATCGAAGTGTAATGTTATCAAAATGTACAGGGTTCCCATTTCAACTGTATTATCTTTTGTAGGCCGATATATAATTTAGAGAAGACGAACTTTTCGCAAAAAAATACGAAGAGAAATCGTCTCTCACTTTCTATATGTCAACGCTATTTTTCCCGTTTAACGCAACGATCTTCATTGAGTAAGTCTTGCGTATTATATTCCTAATTTATATGAATTTTCGCCTCAGTGGGGAATGGTTACACATTGTTTAAAAAAGAAATCGTCCTTTTTATAATAATAATTATAACACTGCTATTTATTATTCGCATTTTGTTAATTTTTCTGCCTCTAACTTTTTTTCCGAATTTGGAACATGCTTTATTTTAATGTGCGATTAATAAGAATACCGACTTTAAACTGGCCGGAAGATAATATAGTAAAAACGGGACGTACCGTATAAACGATATACACACACGATATAAACACATGTGTTGATACGTTATAGATTTATATGTATGCGTGTTAGGAATCGGTTCTCGCGCTTTTCACACAATGAAAGGAAGAAAGTGCATTGACTTGTACATCGCGACTTCGCGATCGCCGAGCGAGAATATTTATATATAATACATAAGGAAATATATCGAGAGCTTCTTAGATAAAGCTAGGGAACAATGTACGGCTCTATCTCTCCTACTTTCGCTCTCGTACTCTCCGCAGCCTCTGCGCGAAGAGGCGGAATTGAGGTCCTAATATTGAAGCTCGTAGATATTCAAGCTCCGCCGTCGATCGGCAATATCCGTACTTGTTTTTCTCCCCCGACCGTGTTGGAAATCGCGTTGCGAGTAGCGTGGAGCAAAGTAGACGGAACGTAGCACAATTTGGATTAGATCGTTTGTTAGACGCGTTTATCGGCCCTAGAAACTCAAATTAGCGCGAATAAGCTCAGGTCATGAGAAGCTTCCTGATGTGTTAGACACTTAACGATGTTAGACACTTAACTACGAGATTCGACGGCACGTTCGTCCCCCCCCCTCTTCTGCCACGAGATAACTCTTCCCGTCGCGTTGTTCGTTGTTTTCTGTTTTATGTCGTTGTACATACTTAATAGCTAATGTAAAAGTGTCGGGGATTGGGAAACCGAGTCACGATCTAGCCGAGCTCGAAATTCGATACCGTTCTCGACGTTCCTTACGTTCACCTGCGAATAAATGTGACGCGACGAGAGGATCTTCGTCTCTTCTTTCTTTTTTCCTCTCGCGCACAATATCGAAAATCGAGATCGGCCGAGATCGCCGGCCGGTTTTCCCGGTGGCCCAGCAAAAAATTGACCAGGGTCGGTAATTAAGCAAGCAGGAATTTCTACGTGAAAAACGCAAAAATTGAAGGCGTTCAGTTCGGCCGTCGAGGAACGGGGCTGTCTTAGCCGGCCGGTTTACTCGTAACACACATCGCCGCTTATTTTACACGACATACCGCATAGAATCATAGATAAGCAATAGGTAACGTCTGCGCGAAGACAGAAAAGAAGAGGAAGAAGAGGCGCAAGGCTCTCACAGTATAGGATATCGTTAGCCGTTCGTCTTAGAGACACATACGCGACTCGTAAAGCCGTTTATATGTTTAGAACTCGCGCTCGTATCTCGCGAAATGATGCCACTTCTAATTATAGCGCATTAGGCTCACTGAAAATCCTCGATTAAACTCGTCGACGAGAGCGTCCGCAATGCGGGTCACGTGGACGTCGCCGTAAGGTATAATATAATACTCGGCAGAACGGTCGATGGACTTTGTGTTGAACGGATAACAGATCCGTACTTATGTAAGTCGAGAATAACGATGATTGAAACGCACGTTGAAACGTTTAATTATATAATATTACATTATCAATGTTATATAGTATGCTAGTTGGCAATAACTTTTTGCATACATTTAACATTTTAATAACTTACAGTCACGCTTTTGTTTTATATAATGGGAATAAATTAGTAGGAGTTGCCTATAAATAGGAAGTTTCGACCGTTCTTGCGATCGATTGCGCAATCAGATGGCTCCGATGGGTTTGACTGTGCGGATAGAATTTAATGTTTGACAGAATCGAAGAGCTTATTTTTCCAAGCTCTCTTAAATCCGAAAGATGACAGGATTTCCAATAGAATCTCCCGAATAACTGCGAACTTTTCGCGTCAGATAATTTTAACTTGACTCGATGCGTGTAAATCGAGCGTCAAAAAAAATCATCTTGGTTTTAAGACTTGGAGACGAGTTCTTCGATTCGCCTAAGGGTATAACTTACAAGCTGCTATACTTGTCTAAATACACATGAATGTAATCTACCAGATATTCGCGTCCGTTAGATTTTAAGAGTGAAACTTGTCGATTAGAGTTCCTAACGATGTGTTAGATAGTCGCGAGCCCAGTTTTTTCAATCGCGACGACGACGTCGCATCAACGAATTAGCCGAGCGATCGCAGCATCTTAGCTTCACGGTCCTGTGTCTCATTATAATCTAGAGTCGATTACGTCGATTAAGAAAGACCGAGAGAGTCAAACCCATCGAGGCGACTATCTGATTTTCTCACGGCGCGTCTCGCGGGAAACGCGGCGCGAACAAAGGCGAACGATCGATCCTCCGCCCGCTCGTGGAATTAAAATTCAACTCAAGAGACAATCACTCTGCTTCGAGGTGTCGTGTGCGTTCAGGGTAACGGAGAAGAAACGAAGTAAAAAAAAAAAGATAAAAAAAGCGGGGTGAGAACGGAGCGATCGGGCCTACGTCGCGCGTCGACGAGATCGAGCGGAGGTGCTCGGTTTGCGGACCATTAAAACAAAGGATACTGTACAACGATTACGCTACAATAATATTTAATGTACCTCTAGGAAACTCGGGACTCGCGATGGGTCTCGCGACACCGCGGGCCGATATCTCGATATCGCGCTCGTTTTTTTTTTTCTTTCGCGAAGCTGATCCGTTTTTACGCTCCACAGAGTTTGGAGAAACGCGCACAGTCGAGATCCCTCGCGCGCGTCCCGGGACAATAGTAATCGTTTTTCCGTGTATTTTATTAGGAGCTCCGGCGCATTTCGTACGAATTTATCGGGATGATTTTACCTAATCCGTTTCCTTTTCTCCTCGAATACGTAAACCTGTTAGCCTTCGATCCGAAGAGGTTCTCGGGAGCGTTATCGCGTGCGAATACCCGAAGCGAATAGATACGCACGTGTGGCGCAAAACCTCCGGGAGGACGTAGGAACGCGGAACCCCCCTTCGAAACGGCTCTTCAATCTCTAAATCGACGCTCGAAATCTCGGTCGTCCTCACGCATTTCGTTTCCTCGCGTTCGCACGTAGGCAAGGGTGATTTAGGGTGGTTTAGCGACCAGAAAGTAACCGGCTATAGGTCTACCGATAGTTAGTCTCATCAACGTCGTTATCCGCATTGGCTTTCTCGTGTTTCTCGCGGGAGCACGAGCGTGTTGCCGCGATTGTTATTTTTATATTTAACCGTAAGATTTTTTATCAGCGAACGGTCGTACCCTCGCGACCGCGATGAACGGGAAATGGGGGAAAAAAGAGAAAGGCAGAGGCCGTGGAAATTGGCCGAGAGAGTTGCGAACGACACGACGATCGAGGAGATACAACCAGACAATACAGTGTCCAACATCGGGACATATAAGACGTCTTATGTCCATTTCTACCAACGCCGATTAACTTTAATCTCGGTTTAACTTACTTTTTATCCTTTTCTAATTCTAGGAATTAGAAAAAAGTAAGTTGAACCGAGATTCAAGATTTCTACTAATGCGGATTAACTTTAATCTCGGTTTAATTTACTTTTTGCTTTTTTCTAATTTCTAGAATTCCTAGAATTAATTCTAGGAATTAGAAAAAGGTAAAAAGTAAATTAAACCGTGATTAAAATTAATCCGCATTGGTAGAAATGGACATTAAAGACGTCTTGTCCCGATTTTGTGATTTTCGCGTTGTCCGATCTCCTCGCGATCTCTCCTCGCCTCTGTTTTCAGACTTGCCGTTGATTTCCGCATCCTCGTCGCGGCATGCCTTAAGTGTGTCAACGTTAATCGTATCGACTACGTAATAGCGTCTTCGTGTCGTCGTCGTCGTCGTCGTTGTCGCCATGGCTGTTCACTCCTATTCTTCGCGCGCGACTCGTTCTTCTTAATCACGGCGATTCTCCCAGCAACGGGTCCCACCATCTTATCCCTGACTCCGACACATATCGTGGAAGAAAACGATCGCAGAAACACGCGCGCGCAAACACTCCTCTCTCTTGAAGCTTATACACGTTTAACAACGTCTGCACGTTCTCCCTCGAAGACGTCGTCCACGTCCAGAGATCCGGGGTCTCGTCGATCGCTGAATATCTTCCCCCCCTCCCCCTCGAGATTCCAAGTCTCCCTGCCCCGTTGTGGAAGCGAATCTTCTCTCTAAAACGAAAATATTTTCGTAACGCTTTATCAGCCACCCCGTTTTCCGCGCGCGCGTTACACGGTGAGAAGCGTAAACGGTTTTTTTTTTTTTTTTTTTAATACGATCGGCCCCCGACCACGAAGAGCGAATTCTCGAGGTTCTCTCCGCGAAATGCTTCTAGGCTGTGACTCGTAACTCGAGAAATCCAATATCGCGCGTTATTATCGAAACAAATGACAATCCTTCCTCGAGCGAAAGTCGAAAACGAGAGGGAAAGGTGCGCGAAAAAGGGTGAAAAAAATAAAGAGAAGAAACGACGGAAGGGATGAAGATCACGCGTCAGAAGTTGGAGAACGCTTCGGATCACGCTTCCTCCTCGTCCCGTTCGCGGTACCTTAACGCAATATACATTGTCGATACGTAACGATATTTCTATCTCCGTTTTCGCCAACGTCTCGCTGTCAGCGGGCACTCGAGCAAGCAAACTTAATAATTAAATTTAAAAAAAAAAGGAAAATAAAACGTACGCATTATACGGTCTCGGGATAGATATGCGTAGGACGCGAGGAAGCCGAGACTGGAGAAACCGACGGACCCTTTTCTTTCTTATGCCGCGAATTTTTCGGCACGCATGCTCGCGCAGGGTCGTGCCGACCGCGTACCGGAGGGACGGCGTAATAATATTAATAATAATACGCGAATGATATATCTTTAAATGGGCTGTGGTAGAAACAAAAAAAAAAAACCTTTATATATACTTTACATATATATAATGGATCGGATCCTCTCGTTTTAACTGAAAGAAAGAAAGAAAGAAAAAAAGCGGCATCTCATTCAAAAGGCGCATCTGTCTTTCGAAGCGTGTTGAAAGTCACTGTCCTTTACCGTTTTGTCACACAACGATTACCTTGCACAAAGCGTACCTAATTATATACATTGTATGCGCGTGTATGTATGCACGTATAATTATACATGTAATATAACGCATATATGACATGTATAATTGTACGCACACATTGGTGCATACGTACATGCATATATCGATAGTAGGATCCGCCGTAATGATTGTCAATAATATATCGTACCTATCGTATTCGTCTCGATACACGCGGGCAGATTATATAATATAAATTATATTGAGCTATATAGGCTGTAAAAATCCGAGCGGGGCCTCGTCGCTCGGATCGGAGCGGATATCCGTTCTCCTCCGAGCGTGTGCAACGTGATGCTGTCGCTTCGAGGGTCTCGGGAAGAAGATTCCCCGACGGATTGACGAATTTCTCCTTTTCTCCCCCCTTCTCTCTTGATTCGCCTTTTTTAACAATCCCGTCCAAACGGGGATATGTCTGATCGTGATGGAAAAAATGATGATGGAATCAACTCGGTCGTACTACGGGGGGTAACCCCCCCTCTTGATCCCCTAATATGATTTTTATTTAACGCTGATTTTAACGGATGGAAAGCAGTAAGTTACATCAAATTAGATTAGACCGAGCGGATTCATCTTCCGCGAGCGACGTCGAAGCGGCACGGCAGAACCATCACACGCGTATAGACGTTCGTATCAGTCGCGTTAGAGCGTAGTTCCGCTAGCTGAAAGAAAAAAGAAGGAAAAAAAAAAGAAATATACGAAGGAGAAACGGTGTTTTAGACTCTTGCTCAAACGATTCGTTTCGTTTTCACTTCTGTGCCGGGGGGACGTCGCGCGCGCGACGTCCCCCCGGTCGTCCGAGGGTAGCGACGGAGAAGAAACGTGGACCATTCTGTGCGCTCGATCGCGACGCGCGCACGTACACGAGGGTAGTCGCGAGAGACGTTCCCCTTTCTACTCTTACACTCAATCCGCGAGCCTCCCCGCGCGGACTCTCTGAGATTCGAACGAACGCGTTATGGAGATGAGGTATACTTGTGAAAGCGAAATTTAAAATAAAATTCCTTTTTCACGCCGATGTAAAAAAAAAATCGATCGCTTTAATCCTGCCACATGATTGAAACGCGTAAATTCGCGTCCGGGTTGATCTGTCGCGTTCTATCGTCGCCGGAAGTCCCTCCCTTTGTTCGTCTTTCACCTTCGCGACGTTTCCTCGGGATGCACAGTTGAGGGACCTCCTACGCGCGATAGGCGACGAGATAAGGGAAAGTTTGTTTCGTATTTTTTTTTTTTACGAGCCCCAGCGCGTATTCTTATAATATATTTATGTCAATTTTTGCGAATGTAGATTAACTTTAATCTCGATTTAATTTACTTTTTATCTTTTTTTTAATTGTTAAAATTGGAAAAAGACAAAAAATAAGTTAAATCGAGATTAAAGTTAATCTGCGTCGACAGAAATACACATTAATGTCGCGCGATGATGTTTAATTGTTCCACGGATGTTTCACTGTCGAGGATTTTATGTATGCATGCATACGCGTGCGATTGTGTGTGTGTGTGTGTGTACGTGTGTATGTGTGTGAGAGATTATATCTCGTTTGTGTTCCCACGTTGATATTCGATGTGTCTCGCGGTAATATCGTCTGAAGTGTGAAAATTTCGTGTATGGTGTCCCGCGCCAGTGTTCCCGGGGCGACCTCGGCTAAACTCCAATTAACTTAATCGGCGATCATTGACCAGCGATTAATCGCTCATTGGTTGAAACCTTTCATGCCCATTGCATTTCTACCAATGTAGATTAAGAGCCTCAGCAGAATGACTGACTTATTATAATTTTAAGACAATGTTTTGTACTTTAAGTCTTTATTTTCAGGAAGTTTCGGTCTACAATAGGTGTTTTAAGCCCTAAGCCTTAAGAAATTGTTCAATCACAGTTGAATTTGAGGAGAATAATTGACTGTGATTGGTCAATTTCTTAGGGCTTAGGGCTTAAAACACCTATTGTAGACTGGGACTTACGAATATAGTCTTATCTCTCAGGTCTTAAAAGTCGTTGACACTTCGTACACACTTTTAAGACTTCGAGACACAAGACAGTATTGTACTAAAGACAAATCTTTCAAGTATAAAACATTGTCTTAAAATTATAAGTCAGCCATTCTGCTCAGGTCCTAACTTTAATTGTCGGTTTAACTTACTTTTTACCCTTTTCTAATTCTTAAAACTAAAAAAAGATAAAAAGTAAATTAAAGCCGAGATCAAAGTTAATCTGCACTGATAGAAATGGATATTAATCGGCCAATCTCCGATCTCCCCACATGTCGAACACAACGAGAAATTAATGAACTCTTCCACGTTAAACAAAAAAAAAACGTTACTACTCGATAAATTAATCGCTGATCGAGTTAATCGGACTTCCGCAGTGGTCATCCCAAAAGGTTAATCCAAATGAAACGATGGCCAAGCGCGATTTGCGCGAGGCGCGAAGTTGAGCGTACAAAACCACGTTTTTGTTAAGATCGTAGTCGTAAGTATGTAAACCTGAGCTTAATGTACTATCTCTCTCTCTCTCTCTCTCTCTCTTTCTCTCATAATGGAACTGTTTGTACTTTACTAGTTTATTAAACGCCCGTTTAGACTTACATAGTAGAAGAGAGTTGAGAGAAAAAAAAAGGCATGTTCAATGCGCGTCCCTCTTCGGAGTCAGTTACTTTTTCTGTTTTTTTTTCCTCGCTCTAGTATATGAATATCTATATATGAATATAAATATATAAATATGTATTACGCGTACGTGAATGTCAAGTAGGAGACGCGTATCCACGTGCTTTCGCTTTGAGAGACATTTTAGTAATTTCCCCGATAGATATCGTTTTTAAGGCGTTGCGAGCGTGATGCTGTTCGAGCAAAATCTAGAAATCGGCAAAGATGGCCATTCTCCTTCCCGTTCTTTCCTTTCGTTTTTAAATCTCCTCTTTATGTTCCGAACACTACGACGATTAGAACAAAAAAATGTGTTTTACTCAAAGTGTCCTTCCTACGTAAATTTACTTGTTCGTTCTTATAAGCTAAATAAATGGTATCTCTTTCATGTTCACATGTTCACGTATACGTCTATTTATTATCAACGAAACCCTCCTCTAATTCGTATTGCATGGTCTCTTTTTTTCTCGAATACTAATATTTTTGTTTATGTTGAGATTAGTTGATCTCAAAGAAAGCTGTTGATAAAATATGTAAAATATATTTAAAAAACGCTGAATTCAGAATTCTAGGATTTGACAAAAAGTCTACTTTGTTTTTACAATATTATAACAATTATTAATAAAAATAGTTTACACGAAGCACATTGCTATGGCGAATAAATTAATTAGTCTTGTGTATTCACAAGCAAAAAAAAAAATAAATAAAATTGGAGTTTTTGCAATTAGATTGCTTGGAGTTTTTGTTCATTTTTAAAAATTTAAATCTTTGGCGATAATTGGTGTAAATAAGTAGATATATTTTGCGGCAATTAAAAGAGAATCTTAAGATTACAGCAATTCTTAGAAATCTTGAAATTTTAGATAGTACCTTCTCGCTGATTATATTCTCCAGATACTTTTTCGATTTTTAAGAATAAAATGTTTATCAATAATTAAAAACGGTAGCACAAGTTGATAATTTACTAATGGTCAATAAAATTGAACTAAATTTTATCAATAATTAGTAAATTACACTAATCTGCGTTAGGGTCTTTAATTGAAAAAAATTTTATCTTCAAAAGTCGACAAAGTATCAGAAGAATTATGTAATCAAACAGAGATGTTACTTGAGTAAAATGTCAAGAATTAAAACTTCAAAAATTCCTAAAATTGAAGTCTAAAAATCAAGTTACAGAAATTCTAATTTTCAAAAATTAGCAAAACTTCAAGAGTATGTAAAGGGTGATTTATTTGAAATAAAAGCTAATTATTTTTTAAGTGGAACATTAAAAAAAAAGTAAATAAAAGTTGCTTGCTTTCAGAAAGGATATCTTGTCGCTCGAATCGAATGGTTTTTAAATACGCAAGTTTATACAATTTTAAAATCACTCTTATTTTTTAAATATATATAATATTAACAATAGTTTACGAGACATTTCTTTTTTTTTATTCGGACATATACACTGGTTCACATAGAATCTTTACGATCACATTGCCAAAAGCCGGTATTTATATGACACCTTCTCGAGAACTAGTTTTACTACAACTAAATGCGTTATAAAATAAACAAAAATATATTTCGTGATTTATTTAAAATTTATATAAAATGTACAATTGCCATGAATGTAAAGAAATACGGGATTGGCAGTAAAGGCTTGAGTATAATTACTGAAAAGGCTAGCGAAATCGTGTGCATCCATACATTACAGACGTTATATATACATAAACGTCTATATAATTTACTAAAGGAGTACTTTCTGGATAATTTCTCATATCTCACAAATCGTTTAGCTATATAATAAATCACTCCCAGAATATATATCGATGAATTTTGAATACCAGGTTTTGTCCTAACTGACAATTATTAGCTTTTACATTGAAGGGAGTCTTTGAAATTACGGCTATTAATAAGACGATTCTATTATATCGATCTACACCTATAGATTAAAATAAAAAACATATATAAAAGGCGGATTGTCAATTATATTATTATTATCATATCCGATGATTTTTATTTCTTTAATACAAGCTATCGTGATGTACAGAAGCATCGTAATTTTCCTCAGGTTAATTCAAAAGAGATTCAATGAAATTGTTGAGAGATATCAATGATTACCAATTATCTTTTCAATCTTTGACTTTATATATATCTCTATGTAGTTATATTTAAAACAAAGTCGATTAAAATAAAACCCATTAAAATTTTTAACTAAAGAATATATAACTCATTTATTTTCTTTCGTAAAATTTAATTTGCTATAAATCTCTTATTTTTAATCGTTAAATGTTCAGCAATTTTATGGGTTTCAACATTTTTGTTGAGAACAAGGTAACAACTCAATCGAAAAATTTACAATGAAAAGAATAATAATCCTGGAGCTCTGTATATCATGATAATGGAGATGTGTTGCGTTCGCGAAGACGCCCATTTAACAGGCATTAGAACATTTATGACGTTTAATGTACATTACATGTAATACGTTGTCGGCGATGGAATTATAAAACAACGGATTCTCACACGCGTGTTTAATTATCGAGCAACAACCGATCAATTAGCTGCCTACGATATTAGATATGTAAGTTCGCGGCACGGCGTACCTCCACGCTCGTAAATCGGTTCTGCGGCAGTTAATTGTCTGCAAAGTTGAGTTGAGGGTGCTGTGAGCTCTGCACTGTTCTACAGTAGGCGTTAAATATGCCTCGTAACATAAAGTTCGGAGCGTTTTTAGGACATACGCGAGATAATGTCACCGTTAATAACGCATTCGCCTTGACAACACGCAATGCAATCTAGAATACAACGCTGTCGATCGGGTCGCAGCACCGTCCGCCACTAGCTTTGCTAACGTTAATACAAGAAATTAAGTAAATATCGCGTTCCTTCACACATGAAGTTTTTACATTATCGAAACTGTCGTGACTAAACATCGTTAATTTCGGCACTTCGGAAATGCTTATTTAAAAAAATGCGTTTATATACTCGCGCTTACGAGATAGATCGCACTATTTCCGTCCTCGTCAAATCTTATTATGCTACAACGTGGCCAAGATTGGCAGATTATACACTTAACAATTACGTATATATATTTATACCATATATTAACATTAACTATGGCAGTCTGTCGAAATACGCGTATTTATATAGCTAACAGGCGTCTGGATTGTAAAGCGTCCAAGCAAAGTGGGCACTTTGACATTCACATCTAATGACGCGAGTGTCGCAAAGAGAAAGGCGATTTATTGTACTGACCAATCTTGTTGGTTGTTTAATGTAAAAAAAGACTAATCGGCACCGCGTTCACCTCGACACATCGTTCCTAAGTTGGTGCGGCGCGATAAAATACGAATAAAGTTTCCTTAGACTTTACCACTACTTCATAGTATAAATATTATTGGCTTTTGTACAAATTTCGTGGATTTGCTTGAGTAACGTAATACGATTGCGCGTAACGGCTACGATTGTAAAAAAAAACGGATTTCACGCTTGATCTTCATCGGGAGTGCGGATAAGTACGGAACGTCACTGAGAATAAGTTTCACAAACTTCATTCATTTTGACCAATTTGAAGCCAAATTCCCCTTAACGAAAGCGTCTTCTCGTAAAAAAAGAAAAACGTTGAGCCTCAGTTACCTAATCTCTTCAAATGCATTGTCAAAAGATATATTTGCCAAGCGACAAGAAATGAGTCGCAAAGGCAATCTTCATTAAGGAAGAAATAGCTTCAATATGTTCTGAATACTTGTAGAGACAGTTTGGAAAATTATTTAACAGTAACATCCTACATTTCTTTTCTAGACGTGAGACGAAATTATGTCGTGCGTTAATCACTAATAACGCAGTGTACCTAATATATACCGTTTTCAAACTACTTTACACGCGTACACCGTGAACCTTACTAGTGGATTTATTCACCTTGCACACACGTCTATGCTATTAATTTTACTGCGATACCTTCGAGATAAAACGGACAATATTCTCCTATATGCGCGCGATGCAAGTAAAAAAGGAAAAAATAATATCCTACAGCTTGTTTAACAAGTTTTACGAGTTTTTTTTTCTACAGCTCATTGCAAGCAAAAAACATCGTATAAGATATCGAACTTGCGTAAAAACCATAAAGTCGAGTATTCTGTTCCTTTCTTTCTATCTGAAAGCTACAAATTGCTGTTAATTGTTGTGGTACCGAGATGTTAATCAAGATACTCATCTCAGTTATACTTATATGTATATTCTATATTGATACTTTATTGTTAAAAGTAAAAATAAGGTATCAATTCTCCTTAATGTCTCTTCACTTTTTAAAATCGATGGGGCATTGTAGAAAACGGCAGTGGCATCACGATATAAAAGCAAACTGTAGGATCGTAAGATCATCGAAAGAGAGCATAATATTAATCGCGAAGTGTTCACAGAATACGATACCATTATCAGTTACTTTAAGTTTGTATATAAAATGCATATTACAATTATTATTCGTTTCGATAGCGTTACGATTGCTGGAGACTCGATTTGCGGCGGGAAAACGGTTCTAGTTATGAAAATATTCATTTTACGTAATGTTTGTTTTCTTTTCTCTTTTTCTTGTTGCAAACTTTCTAGTTTTGCATTCATAGAGACACGTTTTCCACAAACACATAATCGTAATTTGTGATTTTAGTTTAATCGCACATGCGTGACGGCAGTGATAGATTGTATGTTGTGTCATGTGCATTCCGCTATATCGGTCGCCGTTCCAATGAGTTTCGGTATCGCTATCTCCAATATACGTATATTGGAACAAATATATATACTTTCTTTCCGGGAGCTACTAAGAAACTAATCGAATTTAAAGCAAATCGGTGGTTATGATGCCGCGACTTATGGCCGCGGGATCATAGGACAGATAGATGAAGTACTAGAAGTTGATGGCTGTGACTAGGGAGGTAATACGTCCAGCTTTAGGCCCGTCCTCGGCTTGCAGAAGCCGCAATAACCGCCGCATTTACCGATGATTCGTTGATTATTCTACATAATAAAAAAATATATTAAAATATATTCTCAAAAATTATAGTATAGAAGTAGAAAGAAAATCCATTGCATTTTTTATTAAAATTTGTCGCTTTTCTATTAAGTATTTAAATGAAATTATTAAAATCAGTCCTTTAAGAAAAAGATTAGAGTACTTTCAAATGAAAAAGTATATTAAAGCCCCAAGTGATTGCATTGATTAATGATTTTTTTCGAAATTGTATCAATTTTGTTTTCACTTTTATGTATGTGAAATATAAAGATAAAACGATAAAAGATAAAAAGAAGCAATATAAAACAAACAGAAAATGTGTCAAATCTGAAATATGGCTCTTAGATAGTGCGATGATCACTTTTTCTGTCGGAGATTAATTACTTACAATTCTATTGATTGCGAGAAAAGCGCTTGAGGTTTCCTTAATCCAGGTAATTTCTGGCGATAATCCCAAGGCAGTTCCCCTCAAATCAATGCTGAAACGTCCTTGCGGACATTCGGTGAGACTATAGCAATCACCGGCTTTGCCATACTCCACGCGTTGCATTCCTTTTGTCCACGAAAACGTGTAATCATTCGCTAAACATAAAACATCTCAAATGTATCAAATGTATATAACTCATGTGATGTATGTAAAACGCCACTATAAACGCAATTTCCAAATTTTCTTTGATTAAAAATTAAATCCGAAGTATGCATGAGCCGAACATGGTGTTTCCTGCTTACCTATAATGTAGAGTGTCGTTGGATCTATGCGTACCCTCTTAAACATCGTTCTGCCAGATATCGTCCCCAATTCGGACACGCAGTTGCAACTGTCGTTTCTTTGACCATTGAACGGACACGTGTGAGGGTTCCTTAATCTGACACATCGAAATCAAATCATTACAAGATGCCGCTGAAGATAAAGTTATTGAATTGTTGAGAAAATAATTCTCCAAACACCGAGAATAAAATAGTAAAACGTCAACCTTTTGTCGTAGATTTCCGCGAAGTTCTCGCTGTCGCCAGCTGGCAAAGTCAGGTATTCCCGCGGCTCGGCGCTCGACATTCCGTGACAATAAATCGTCATATTTCTACCACCAATTAACAACGGATATTCACCGTCCGTGGTAACCTTGAGTCGTTTCTGGATTTCAAGACAGGTGACTGGACCGCATTTTCTTTGATTGCACTTGCGCTTTCGTTGTGGCTTGTATTCAGCTGGACAGTGAATCCGCGCTACTGTATTGCCGGCTGCATTGTGGCAATAAAGCCTACGGATCTGCCGCCCTTTGCGTCCGCAAGATTGACTACACTGTAGAAACAAAGAGCAAAAATTAATGTAAAGGAAAATACAAGAAAAAAATTCGAAATGAAAAGATGAAGAAACGGAAAGGGGATAGAGCGACGTTGGTTTCGGAATAGTATTTCAAAGAATGCACTCACTTTTTTCCAAGGGCCAACAGTCCAATAATATTCATCACTGCACTCGCGTAGCTTACAAATCTGCTCGCTGACCGGCCTTTGATCCATCGGGCAACCTTCAGTTGGCGTTGGATCGATCCATCCGTACAGATTTACTCGATGACAAGTGACCGCGCGACGTTGCATTCCTTCGCCACATTCCGCCGAACACTTACAGGAAAATAAACATATTTATAAATCTCTTTTGCTTGCATTATACTAAATAAATGTTTATCGCGGCAAAAAAAATCAAGAAAAACGCAAACGCGCAGAGATCATTAACAACATTGATAATGTCGTGTCTTAATAAAAGTAATAATGAAATGAATGTTATAATGAAAGAATGTATCGACAAATCGAATGTGCAAATTATCACGAACAATTATTAATTGCAGTTGTAAACATTTTCTTTATCTCTCGATAATATTTTAATATTATTCGCTAAAAATAATTGAATTTTTACGCATTACAAATGTAATCTATCCAATTCAAGTTGAATATGCAATTTCTGCTTAAATCTTCCACCAATCTGTTGACAACTTGCTGATGGTTCACTTCAACCGGAACGATAACATACATTCTCTCATTATAATACGAAATTATGCAATCAATTTAAAATGGATCCATGCTCATGCGTAATCTGAAACAATAATATATGTATATCTATAATATATACCAGGTCACTATCATTTTATTAAAACCATAAACAACCAGTGGTTGTACGATAATATTCTGTGTATGGTGGCTGTATAATATGCGGTGTTTTACCTTCCCAGGATATTTTACTGAGGATATTAGTATTATGCATGAATATTACAAACACGGTAATATTCTCTAAATCTGCTAGGCGGAGTGCAAGTTATAAACACGTTAGTGATCAAATATCATAATTTTACACTCATTAAGTGAAAAATACTCTATGTATACATATTTCTCAATAAATGTAATGTAAGATTAATAACATGCATGAGGAAAGTCCATCGTTTGAAAGAGAATGTTAAATCGAACATCTCGCACGGATCTGATAATGATCCTGTGTGTTATCAAGGTACCATGCATCTTCCATAGTTCACTATAATATGTATGGAACCCATTATCCCTGTATGTACGATCAATCAGAATTAGTTATTTATGCCATCGTTGCAATAATTGTTATTCTCCCTTGCTGTAAATATACCAACATTCGGGTGCATGTAAAACTTGATTTTCACGTTTTTTTTTGTAAAGGTTGTGAAATGTTTATAAAATTGGGCATAGCAGCAAGGACAATGCTGGCGTAAGGTTGAGGTACCTCCGACCAGGTGCCTTCCTGCCAGATAAAATCGCAGGCAACACGTTGGCATAATCTCTGTGATTTTGGTTTGCGCGGTTTTGTTCTCAAGCACTGCTCGTCCTTAACAGGTACTTCCGGCCAATGATTGCTTCTTCTCATCGTACATTCCACCCTTCGTGTCTGAATCCCGGTGCCGCATGATTTCGAGCACTGCAAAATATTTCGATTCGGTGCAAACTGGCCATCGTCATCCGTGATGGTAAAATTTAGCGCTCAACACCACCGTTGCCCGATACCGGCATGTTCACGACATCGATAGAATTCCGCCAAATTGTTTTAACTGTTTTATTACGTTTATAGTTTATTAAAATAAGATGAATTAAGAGAGTTTTGTTTAGGACATCTCACTTAAAAATGGTTTTCCTAAAATGACCTAAAACGATGACTTCGTTCGTCAATATTTTCAAAGCACCTATATACACTTTATTTATTTTTTTCATTTATTTTTCATATAAAGATAAATGCCGATAAAACTTTAACTTTGTTGCTATTATGATGTTTTTTAATTATAGAAAGATTTATAGCGTTTGTTCATTGCATATTGATTTACTTCTTGATTATTCAGAGATTAAAAAATTGAAAAAGACACTCGCTTTAATAATAATTACTCCATATTTTAATATTATAATTTCACTAGATAATACGGTTTACTTACCGGAGTCCAATTAGACATTTTCCATCTGCGAACGATGTTAGAATCCAAACTATTCTCCCGGCTGCTTTTAGGATTGCTTCTGCAAGATTCTTTTTGGCACCTTCGCACGTGTTTCGGTTGCTCGTCGTTACATTCCTTGTCTGGCAAAGTTTCGCCGCGATGACTTTGACAGCGGATTTGACGATGTTGGAATCCATTACCGCATACTGCGTCGCACTAAATCATTAAAATCATCGAAAGCATCATTAGTCAGAGAATCACTATACGTATATTTTTATTTTCGCGAAACGTATCCATTTGCTGTATAAAAAAATGTATAATGTAATTTTATATCACGTTTAATTCTATAGAAGAAATAACATTCATGATATTAATTTTGTGTAACAAAATAAAATATTTCAATACCTCGCTCCAGTCGCCGGTATTCCAAGTCGGACACGGGTGAGGATTGCACGCGATCCTGACTATCGGTTGTTGATTAGAGTCACAATAATAGTCAGGCGCGACCATCCCAGTTTCCGAGGATATACATCTCGCTATCCTGTTTTTGTATCCGATATTGCATTTTCGCGAGCACTGTAACATGAATTATGAAATAGTACGAATTATAAACTGCAAACTTAAGAATTTATGAAAACTATAAAGCATGCGAATAAGCTATACATCTTAATAAACATATCGAATACAGTAAATAAGCCCACCTCTCCGTAAGCTCCTACGTGCCATTTGTAACCCGAGTGGAACGTAATTCCGTTGCTGTCGATTTCGTTTTCTTGTGGGAACGAATCTTCACGTGGGGGATTTGTTGAATACGTGATCGGCGGCAGGCTTACCTAAGAAAAAGGTAAGACTGTTCAAACTTTTTCATAGTATTCCGTGTTTCCGTTTTTGCTAATAAATTATTATTTAAAGTAGATCTTATTATTGTTTGTAATAGTTTAGCCTTTCTTTAAGAGTAATGATGTTGATTGCTTTCTCCAATCTTTTTTTCACACAAATTTATACACCTTCTAGTCTTTCTATGTCGCGATAATTATGCTACTAACATTATTTTGTTGTATTATATTTGAGCCTTTTGTAATTCGATTGTATTATTGTCCCAAAAAATTGCCTTCCTCAATAAACAGATAAATAAAATAAAATGCAAACTTACGACATTGGGACATGGTTTTAGCGTGCAGGTAACCGAAGTCTCTGGTTTCTCAGAGATGGAACATCCGTCACTCGGCGCACCATCTGCATTCTTGCAAACGACGTTTCTTCGCGACGTTCCCTCGCCACACGTTACTGAACACTGCACAACGAGAGACTGGATTCAACTCGGTAGCTTATTAAATGCACGGGGTAAAATTGTCCAATGTACTGTACCGGACTCCAGTCGCCGGCGTGCCACTGATGACAAGGACCGGCATCGCAGGCCTCCGTCGTTACGATCGGTGTACCGCTGCAGAAGGTGCGCGATACCACGCGATTCTCGACCTGGCACCAGGAGGCTCTATGCCGTTTTCCTACGCCGCAGGTCACGGAACACTACAAAACATTTCATGACACTCGTTAATTCAAATTATTTATGAATATTAATGAAAACTGCGTCAAGTGTTTAAACCGTGATTGGACAGATCAAAATTTTCTTATTAGAAGATATTGATCTTAAAAGAAAAATGTTTAAAGTGCAAATTTATCTTGTGTGTTCTTTATATATATACATATTAAAATATATTTCTCTATAATTAATATAGAATTAACATCTGATTGTGATACATCACGCGTCTTTAGCGCATATCTTACCGAACTCCACTCTCCTAGATCCCATTTCGGACAAGCCTCTTGATTGCACGTCCTCTTGAGATGCTTCTCCTGTCTGACGCAGTTCTCGTCTCGTACCTGCCTCTCGTTTGAATCAACGCATATCGCGCTCCTCAATTGCACACCGCCGCCGCACGAGACACTGCAGGCATTCCATTCGCTGTAACTCCAATGAGCGTCGTCGCAAGGGCCGACGCACGACTGATGCTCGCTCGGTTTCTCGATATGCAAGCAGGCGTGCGCCGGTATCGGCCGCGGAGGATGCGACGAGTCCAGCAAGATTTGAACGCATCGCGAGGTGACAGTTCGCACGCCCGGGCCACAGTGATTCGAGCATTCAGACATGGAAGTCATCTGCCATCTGAAAACGATTTAAATAGATTCAGCAACTGAAGTCATCACAAGTAAAAAAAACCATTTAAACACTTTGACCACGGTACACGCGTAAAATCGTATATTTCTTCCGTGTTTGTAAATTTTTAATTTTTCTAAGTAATATACTATTTATCTTGCGACTTCACACGCCTTCCTTACTTACTGTAGTGTGCAATGCGCGTTACATTTCTGACTTTCCTCCTGCGGTTTTTCCTCGTTTCTGCAATAAGCGTCGGGCACCGCTTCCTTGTGCTCGGTGCTCCTACATTCGGCCTTGCGATATTTCATACCCTGACACATTCGATTGCAGGTCGACCAATCGCTGAGCAGCCACGTGTAACTGTTTAGGATTCCTTTCGGTACAGTGTACTCGTAGGTGATTTGCGGTGGATAAACGTTCCCTACGGATAATACCTGGAATTCCGTATTCTTGGTTGAGCAGAGTTACATCGTCGGAGAAACTACTTTTAGCTAAGTGACGTAATGCAAAATGTAAAATGTAAACGGTGAACCTGCCTCCAAAATTAAATCGGTGGCGATAGGGCGGGAACTGTTCAGTCGTTCCACAACTGATTCCGGTCCGCTGTATTCAATAGTAACGCCAGCGTGTACGATCACCTTGCGATGCATTACCATAAAGTTCCCGTTTAAGATGTATTCGCCGTCTTCTCCAATTCTCAGCGCTGTATAATAATATACGTTGAAATTTTTTCAGAAATTAATAAAATGGAAAAATTTTCATAGAAAAACTCTAAAACAGCTAACATACATTATATTTGGTTCACAATAAATCTTCATGTATAATTTTCTTTATAACAATATCATGACAATACTATTTTTATATAAAAATATTATTCTTATTTAGATGTAACGGTTCCGTTAATTAAAAAATCTGTCGGAAACAATACAGGAAAATCTTACCGAGATAATTACTATCGTTGTGAGAGCCCAGCCATCCATGTTGTTTAATATCAATGTAACTGCTGCCGGCAGGGATTTTAGCTACCCTGGTGTAACCGTATACACTGGAATTGTAAGCGCCCGCAATCCTCTGACAAGTTGCGTTGTCGCCTCTGCAAACTCCGCAGGTGTCAAGTTCGGCCGTCGAATTCAAGACGTGATCGCATCCGGCGGGCTTGCATTGGCCGTTAACGCATATATGGAAAGTGTCAGGGCCGCAGGGTGTCCCATCGATTACCTTGTCGCGTAACATGTAATACTGATTGCTCTCCACTTGGCAGTACAGTTTGCAACGATCTTGTGGCAGTACTATAAAAAAAATATTTAAAAAATCGTATCTTCGGCCTTCGCATAACTTCCATGGAAATTGGAGATCAGATTAAATCAATTGCATAGATTAAAAGGATAAATTAAGAAATGATTAAATTATTGCTTACTTCTGGTATACTTTGCATGCCACTTAACATCTCTGGCAAGATTCTGAATGTTGAAATTGTTATTGTCGAATTTCGAGCATTGTTGTTCTCTGTAAAGAAAAAAAAGAAAAAGACTGAATGTTAGTATATACAAGAACAGATTATTGCGTGACTAATCAAGGCAATCACGTCCATATCACGTCGTTTATCGGTCAACTTGTCGATAATTAATCAATAGATCTTTATTTTTGCGGACTTGTGCAACACGACTTCTTCGTACAAGGCATTGAAGCACGTACCTGAAATCTGGGCTACCCGGCGGGCATTCTCTGGTACCGCAGTTGCGATATTTAACGCGCTCGCCAATACAGTAATTGCCGCCATTCTTCGGCGCCGGATTATCACATTCGCGATACTTCCTCTTGACGCCGCCGCCGCAGGTCCGCGAACACTCGCCGTATCTTCCCCATTCACCCCACTGGCCGTGCACCGGCTCGAGGTTTCTGCGCGAGACGCACTCGCCGCGATGACACCATTTATCGATGCCGCATGGTGTGCCGTCGGCCCAAGGCATGTGCTGAGTGTGACACTGCTGATGATGATCCCACAGTGGTGCGGTGCACCACAGTCTCCTACACACTGCCTGGCCGGTAACCGACCAAGCCCCCAATTTACTTCAATTCTTAAGCGAATTTCGTCGTAATAGCGCTACGGACTAGAGAAGTCAGAAATGAGGTTGTATTTCTAATAGAAAATATCTCCGTTTGTTATTGAATATTCCTCATTTCGCAAAGACATCGCGAATCCGTAGAATATCCAAAGACACAAGCTAAATGAAATGAAAATAAGTGAAAGAATAGAAAAATGTTGTCCGTAATACGACCGCAAATATGTGCTGGGCTTAATCAAACGCGTAAAGAGAACGTTTTCGACTTACCATCACTCACCATGTGGGGACAGATTCTGGATCCTTGCCCGAAGACGAGCTCACACTGTTTGTTCTCTGAATAGTCTTCGCCGGGCAGCCGACCGTTTTGTCTCTCCATCATTTTGCTGGGTTCGTCAAGCAAACAGTTGGCATATCCGGCTCTGGAACAAAAATCATTACAAATTAACACAGATTCCCGATCTTCCGTGAATCGAGAGAGAGCTTAGATGCTCGTTCACCTAAATAGTCTTTGAGAATTATGTTTCTTGTGACAACGTTTAAAATGTATTACGAGTGTGTAACAGTCGCTTAGAATCTCATTAAACCGGATTTCTGAGCGACGACGATGACTCGTTCCTCGACTCTCTTCGATGTCACGAAAAACTCGACATTGCCTTTCTCGATCGAAATGAATTTGTCTGGCCGACATCTGTTTCCTGGAAATCGGCGCGTTTGACGCAAACGGTTTATTCTCGGCTTTTCTATTCGTGCTTGAATCTTGATTCAAAATGCAATTTTAGAGCGCGCAAAACTTAAGCCTAAAAATGATCTTTAAGCAATTAATTAATTGTCTGATTATAAGAGTACTCGACATAATTAAATTATTCTCATGGGAAGAAGTTAGCAAAAACAAAGCTATTTAACTCGATTAAGACCATTTAAGCGTATTAATTTGAGACATACTAAGTGTCTCTCGCTAAATATATATAGACTTTAATTTATTTTGATAATTTTTTAAAGAACATAAACTTTTAAAGAAAAACTTTAAAATTAAATACGATTATTTATTTGGCAAATTTTTAATATATTTGAAAGTTAAATGCTAAAAGAAGAGGAAAACTTATTTGTTAAAAACTAACTTTTAAATAAATCTTTTGGTAAAAAATGGAACATTAACTAATGATCATTAAAGATGCCACGAGCTATATCGCTGTGAACAGAAAGACAAATCAACGCGGTCAACACAGACAAAAACCTGACATCGCATTACGTACTGTCTTAAACAAAGGTCACGAGTCAATTAGTAACGATCTCTTTCCAGAATGCTCCCCAGCACATCGTTTATAACCGAGTCATTCGCCAATTAATGACTGACTCACTCGAGAAATTCGGTGACATAGTGTCGGGAACACTTGGACCACTCCCAGGGAAAAGTATTATCGTCCAGCATGCGGGACATCACGTTGTGCACACCCGAACGGTTCCTGAAACCCGTGCACTTGGCGTCGTCGTCGTGCGGCATGTTAAGTCTGTAATACAATTCGGGTATTTCCTCTGAGTGCCATGAATGTTTGTAGAATAATAATAGTAACAATGCATACGAGATGTGGTGTAAAAAAAGAAAAGAACAAGATTGAGAAATCAGAGAATAGACACGTGGCAAGTAGCACAGCAACGATTTCATAAAGAAGACACGACGTATCTTTCACAGGAAGAATTTAGATTACCTCATTACATAAATAATGTAATATATAAGTTTTAAAGAACGCATCGTATACAGGTCGCATGCTTTATGACCGATAACATGCTTACACGTGACCAATCTCGTGCGCGATGGTAAACGCCGCGGCTAATCCATTATCCTGCACGATAGCGCACGAAGATCCAGGCGAGCACATTCTACCCAGCTCGGCCAAGCCCAAAGTGTCACAACGCTTTTGGCGCGGGTTGTGACATAGATTCTCTCTGAAAATTATTTTCAGTTTGTACATATCGCATGTCCTTAAGTCTTGGAGTTTCATTTTCAAAATTATTATTTTGGCAAATCCGAGTTAAATCGAGTTAAAACATTCCGTGAAAATTATAATTTGCAATTATTTTATATTCGTCATTAAACAACTTGTTAATTACGCTTCAACTTATTCTCAAATTTTTAAATTAATGAGATAATGAAGTTATGAATATATTTTAAATAAATACCGTTTTGTTATCTAATTCTATTATAAAAATTCAGTTTGTTTTAGACGATACAAAATTTAATTTGCCGTTTATAACTAGAAAAATATTGTTTATATAAAACAACATAAATTTTTACGATAAATTTCATATTATACATATAAGAATGTACATTTTTACAATATAGATTTTTCTGATAAAAACCTGGTTAATAGAAGCGCAGCATCGTGGTGTTCCGGAGAGGGTTCGTCAGGATTATTGTGTTTCTGCCACTGGCAGAATCGCTTTAACATTTCGGCCGCCGCGATTCCGTCACTACCGCTATGTTTGACGCCAAATACTTCCTCGGTCTTGACGATCTTCATTACTGCAATGCTCACCGGATTGCCGATAGACTGGTCCTTGTAGATTCGTGAAACCTATCTTTCCAGGGGAGCAGATGGGAATATGTCCGGTAATTCGGTTGCAACAAATTTGTCATTAATTACTTGTTTAGTCTCATTCTAATATGTTTCTTACTCGATTAAGGGCTCTATACATGTATATGTTAAACGAGATCTATTCTGGGACACCGTGTACACAAAGAATCTATTTCAATCTTTTGTCCGCGCTCTCTTTCATTCATAAAGAATTCATGAATCTAAAGTCGATCGATTGTTGTTGAGAAACACGATTGAATCATCGAACGGACGACAGGCGTGGGTTCGTGAAAGCGAACTCCTCGCAGGATGTTGCCCTCCGGTGAGGTGTGGCCTTCGCGTGGGATACATAACTGGCGTAGCGCACTCGGTAATGACCGCCGTGACGAAGCTAATTGTCGAATTACGAATCGACGTCTCCCATCTCCTTCCTCTTCCTCTTTTTTTCACTGTGTGTTTTTTTTTTTATTAAGAATTTACTTTGGAAGAACGTCCAATTCATCTTTATTTTCAGAATGAATAGTACCGTTTTACTAGATCCTTATCAATAGATTTAAAAATTACCACGTCTGTGTTGTTATAATGATAACACGAATTGCTCTTTTAAGACTTTTCGCAACTTTTTAATCAATTTAGAGACGATTTGTTTATCATTTATGCACCCTCCTAATTTTTTTTATTGTATTCTTTTACAAGAAAAAGCTTTAAAATATTACTAAAATCTATTTAAAATTAATTAAAGAATATTTTTTTATCATCCCTTTTTTTTAAGTTTAGATCAATAGAAACTTGCTATTTTAAGTTAATTACTCAAAAAGCTACAGCTACCTCGATGTTTTTGCAATAATAACAAAATAAATTCCAAATTTATCAAAGATAATCATTAAAGTCAAGACAGCGCGTTGTAGGACATCATACATATATATGTAAACGAATGCATTAAACGTGCCGTGCATAATTTTTTATAGAGAAATGTAAGGGAACGCGTCTGACGCTGTCGTGACATTAATACAGAAACCTAGGAAGCACAGTTAAATATTTTCAAATTACGTTTGAAGAGAATATGTACCCACCGTGCTCATCAGGACAAGAATGTAGCTGACCAAGCCAGTGCCATGATATTCCACCATTTTCGCATCAGCTACCACCATGATCTCGATGAAATATTCACGCGGTAAGGCACGCCGCGGCCTCCACGTCACGAAGGGATCCGCGTCCATCTCCGAGTCCTGTGCGTATTCTTCGTTTTGATAGCCGTGTTCACGAGCCACACTGTAATACCTAGAATTCGTAAGACGTACACTACAGATTCGTTACAGAACGTCCCAGAATATGCAGGAAGCGTAGCGTTGTTCCTCGTAAAGATTGGAGTCAACTCTTCTGCAAAAAGGTTGCGGGAGAATTCTATTATTGTAAATTAAAATCCGCTTTAAATTGCACAACAAATAACGTGCTGTAATTTATACGTTTAAAGCTTCCTCAATGGCTTACAATCCGCAAAATATTAGTGTCTCTCCAAGAATTACAAGAAATAACACTATGCATTCATTTGGCCTCCATTCTGGAACATCTCACTCACTATAAACGCAGTAAATATCTAATTCAAGAATCACTCGGTAAGTTTAATGGATTAAGGACCGCAGTAGGAAATAAATAATTGAAGATATAAACTTGAGAATAAATAATATTCTCTTTTCAGATCTACATAAATTTGCATATGTGCCTAATACCTGTCGTCGTAATCCAATCTTTGAAAAAAATCCTGGCGATGCTCGGTCAGCTCTGTGAATCGCTCGTATTCCTCTTCCTTCTCTCTAGGAAACCGCTCCAACGATGCGGTTTTCCGCGTCAATGATCTACGCTCCCGCGAACGCTCCCCGACGTAAACTTTACGAGCGGAACTATCGTCTGTTAATGGGGAAGGGATGTCGTCCGAGTCGTAATCTGTCAATTATGAGCATGCCAATTATAATCAAATCAATTAGTTCGGCATTTAATAGGAGAGAATCCGCAAGGATATCGTTCGCCGAAGTGAACAATGGGTATATCGCATAGTCGCAGACATTATAGATCCGAGGTCGGCGACTATTTAAAGCGAGACCGCGGTCTATCCCAATAGGCGATAGATGTGGAAAGAGACGAGAAAATTTCGACGGTGTAGTATCAACGACGTTGTTTTGTGGGCAGAGAGTACGCGCGTCGCCAAGCTGTCTCGATGGTACATCAGAATCCGCCCGAGGGAAGACGTAAATGCCTGAACCTGTTTTGGTACAGGTGGTCGTGCGAGTATGCGTTGAGTGAAAAAAGACGCGACGCTTTTTCTTCGAAGCCTCGTGAAGCACGTGAACATGCGTTTCATATATCGGAATAAACGTGGACATCATGAGATTCTGGTCCGGCGCGGTAGAATAAATAAATGCTTCTTGACTTACCCCCGTTTACCCTCGACCAATGATGGAACCAGTATTAATATACTATTGCGACCGGTATTAATACGCTATGGATATTTTATGTCAATTCTTCTTAACGATATGTTTACGAATATATGAATATATGAATACATTAATGTAATTTTATTATCAATGCGTGTCAAATTTCAGATATAATCATATTATAAATGAATAGTAACGACGAATAATTCTCATTCTATTGAAAAGCGACAAAAATAAACTTGTTCTTTAATCAAATAAAATATCAAGATTCCCATTTTGTTCGATAAAACGCTGAGAATTGATTATCGGTATATTGCGATATAGACACCGTTGAAACAAATTCGTCGATTTGAGTTGATTTTCTTCTGCATTCTTTCGACTCGCTTCTCCGCGTCAGAATGACCCGCTTTTCTCGACCGTGTCACTAACGAGCTACTCCACATACCACAACGGATAACGTATCGTAAATAAAATCGAAATAAGTGAAACTCTTCTTATTTACCGATCACACCGCAATTGCGACTTCTAACTCCATTTTCGGGAGTATCAAAGTCATCGTTCAAATTAATCGCAGCCGTGGGTACGCGGTAGAGCGCATGTTGTAACGAAGATCCAAGAGAGTCCTTGTCGTCCTCGCGCCAATGTTCGGTAGGCTTAATGAAATAGCTGCCCATCGACGTCTTCATGTGACCAGTCTGAAAATCGCAATAGAATTTATGAAGTACGTATGTACAAGTACGATACCTAATTGGTATAAAATCAGCACATCTGGATAAAAAAATCCACTTATAGAATAAGAGTTTTTCAAGGTTTTCCGTTTCTGAGAAAATGAATACTTTTCGAATAGGGAAGGGGTAATCGCGTCAAGAATCTCTCGCTCGAGATAAACCATTTCTTAACGACTAGACGGAATTACGCTGAAATTATTTATAAATGCGACGTTTTATATAATCAGTTTATTACACATTGCACCGTTTACGTGAAATAAGAGAAGATTTCACGTTTATTTTAAGTATAGCGGCGACTTATACAGACGCTATTAGAAGAGCGTTATTTACAAACGGAGCGCCACCCGTTGTTATCCCATCCGCCAACTACGATACGTTAACTTGCTTGATTAAACATTCTAACGGAGATGAACTCTCTGATTTATTTATTTTTTCGGAAATACAGACTCTCGGCACTCGCGCACGTGCGCCGCGACGGGAGCGCGCAGGCCTCACCTATTTCAAATACTTGTGACTTATAGCGCGTGGACTTTGTTATAGTTACATTATCAAAGATCTCGGGCAACTAATTTGGTTGGAAAATGGTTGCGCATTCCAACGGCTAGACCCGAGAGCATACAAGAGCAAGGACGTTCTTCAGCATACGAATTACTTGATGTTATATAACGTGACTTCCTGCCGAAACTGTCGAGCAATAAAATTGAGGATAGGGCGACTTAGCCATTATCATATAAATAGCGCTAAATTTCTCGAGCTCCCAAAACGAATTTTTTGATAATACTGAGAATCAACGGAATAAAAATTTATATTTTATTACATCGAATTCTGATGTGGGTGAAGAAAATCGGAAAGTTACAATAACATAAAATTTTTTCGCGCAAATTCAAGGTTTATCTAATGAAAAATTGAGGATAGGGCAATTTAGCAATTATTATATAAATAGCGCTAAATTTTTCGAGCTCCGGAGCGAATTTTTTGATAATACTGAGAATCAACGGAATAAAAATTTATATTTTATTGCATCGAATTCTGATGTGGGTGAAGAAAATCGGAAAGTTACAATAGCATAAAATTTTTTCGCGCAAATTCAAGGTTTATCTAATGAAAAATTGAGGATAGGGCAATTTTGCAATTATTACATAAATAACGCTAAATTTTTCGAGCTCCGGAGCGAATTTTTTGATAATACCGGGAACCAACGGAATAAAAACTTATATTTTATTGCATCAAATTCTGATGTAGTTGAAGAAAATCGGAAAGTTACATTAACATAAAACTTTTTCGCGCAAATTCAAGGTTTATCTGATGGAACGAGAAAGAGAAGTATTTCCCAATGAGATTGCCCGCTTGTCGCAGCGTATAGATAACGTGAATGAAACTTTACGTGACGCTATAGCTACAATCATCGGCCGTAAGCAACGCAGCTCCGTACGCATCGGCCGTAAGCAACGCAGCTCGATTCACTTGTGTTTGCGATTTGCATTCTTGCAGACATGCGCCTTCTCTATTCCGCGGCACAAAGACTGACTTGAGGATTACCGAGAACTCTCTTGGCAGGAACGCCGTCTTTCTCCCTGTCTCTTTTTCCTCCATCTCGCTCCGTTCGCTTTATCTTACCCTTTCTCTCACCCATCTCCCTTTTTGCCTTTTCGATCGGCCAACACACAACTATACAGGATGGTAACGACCTCGCGATTATCCGCTGAAGCAATTCATCGACCTTTCGACAAGCAGAGCTGATTCAACGTGTCCCTCACGTCATTCAGCGAAAATGCCGCTCGTTAATTAATAATGCGAAACTCCAAAAATACCGTCGCATTTATCCAGACAGTCAGGACGGGTGTTTACATAAGATTCCTTTGCCGTAATCGCCTAAAATGTCTTCAGTCTCTTCGACGATTGACGAAAACATATCTGGAAGAGATTAGAAAAAGGTAAGAAGGAGGAATTTAACGTGACTTTCTCTCACTTCTGAGTTCGTAGTTCAATAAAAGGTTGTTACAGAGAAAACGCGGAAGCCTCAAAAGAATGGAATAAATTAACTAGCAATTTTCAAGTGTTTCCTCACGAATATTCCAGCGAGAAGAAGCGATGTCAGATCGTGAGCAAGCATATGCCTACTCCGTATACTGCGAACCATAAAAATGCTGACCGTATCTTATATCCTTCGCGCCTACAGCCGCGCTTTCGTCTCCAGAACGCGTGCATTATATTTGCACATTGCCGATTGTTTTGACTCGACGTCGCTTCCATGCCCGCAGTTCCATGTTTATGCTAAAACATCAAAAACCGTGTCGCGACGACAGAGTTAAAAAACAGCGCTATCGGCCAATAATACCGAGAAAGATGTGCTCCCCGAGCCGTGTTACCGAGAAGAAAAAATATGCGAGACACCACGTGTGCATAACGTTTCGCCGTGCGGGGCCGGCCGGCTTAAATTATAAAGGCGGTTAGGGTACCAGGCCAGGCCAGAGTTATCTTTATTTAGGTTCCGCTTAATACACGGGGTATAATACATCATAATAAAAGGTGCCTGGGCTGTAACGCGCCTTGCGCGGCCTGTACGAACAGAGACAATAATAGACTGCAGTAATTTGATACAAGAACGCGTCTGAATATTTTAATATTAAACGTAAATTTCAGCTCTTTAAGACCCTTTGAGAGAATTATTATTATTTTTTTTAATTCGGAGAATCTTTTTTAATGCAAAATAAAGAACGATCTTAATATTTTATCTAATTTAAATAATTATTTTTTTTAGTAATTTGACCACGATATTATATTTATGTAAAGTTTTATAAAATTATTAAAAACATCGCTAATGATAATAGTAATAATAATAATAATATGAGCATTTAAATATTCGAATTATTTCTTACTAGAAAATATGATTGTTCAACGCGCGTATCACGGGTTCTTTAAACTTTTAACTTTACATTCACTTTTGATATCTGAAAAACGTTCGTGTCTTATCTTAACGCCTTTTATCTTAACCGAAACAGAAACAGAAAGTTGAAAGGAAACTTCTTAGATGAGTAAAAATTGTCGTTCACAAACAAATTGAGCGAATAAATTAATTAACTTATAGCTTGCAACGCTTCCGCTGTTGTACAGTCGGGACACAAATCAAATTCGGCGTTTCTGTAGCCTGTCTTTCATGACGAGATGATCCTCGTTAAGGCGGCCGCACAAAATGTCATCACAGACAAAATATCTCCAATTAATTCCGCCTATTATATTACACATTTCTGTCAAGGTCGTCGGGTCGACCCAAAACTGGTCGTACCGGCTCGAGTAGAACTTGCGGATTTGCTTTCTTACGATGCTGCCCCGTGCCGAAAAAACAATATCGAGTTTCTTAGCAAATTGAGTGCTTCGAACGCTGCGAACATTTTAGCAATTTAAAAGATTGTTCACGGAGCACGTAAAATGATATCATGTACAAGTTTTTTATAAAATGTAAAAGTCAAGAAGTTCGGAAAGCCTTTTAATATGCCAAATAATTGAGGAGAGATTACGCCGGACGCAACAATCGTTCTTTTATCATTCGCATCTGTAAAATAAAAGCATTTTTTTTTAATATCTAAACAAAATTATTTTTATAAATTGTTATAAGACACGATCGTTAAATTTTGAAATCATAGAAAGATATACAGATTCTAATTAAAAGTAATCGGAAAGAACAAACTTTGACGTATATATAATTATATTAGACTGATATAAAAGGCCATTTGTTAAAACTTGTGTGTCGCCAGCGCAAAAGGAGGCAGGGAATTAATTCTCGATCTTACATACAGATCGAGTATGATTTTACATTAAGTATTCATCCGCAAGCTTTTCCCATATTCATTAGGATAAGATACAAGAATGTTAACATCGTTCCATTCGTTATCGCTCGATCGCCTCGTCAGCAGAATCCCGTACGGTTCGTAATAGAGAACTCGAGCTTCTCCTAATAGCGCAATCTGTTATTACGATGATTCGTGACTGAGATTTAAACAAATAAAATGATACGCGACGATTACTGAACCACGAGAAATTATCTTGGATTTCTCGCCACGCGCGCACGGTCTGCTCTTGACGGCCGCATATATCATACGTGTCGAAAGGCGTATTAAATCGGTACATTACGTGCACTTATACTGTTAACGTAAGACATCCGTCGAAACTACCGGATGTTTTTCGCGTTGCGGATTCTCTTTGCTCTAATTGGAAACGATTTTTTTCTTTTTTTCAAAAATGTCGAGACGCGTGACTGAGGTCTGAAATTATGGGACGCGTAATTAAGGTCTTGAATTATGGGATACGTCTAATTAGATCAGCTTAAAAAGGAAAGGCAACAAGCTTATAATTTTCAATTTCTTTGCGCCGGGAAACCGAAGGCGGTAAAAAGGATTAGCGGATATCGGAAAATGATGAGGAGAGCTCGAACGATCGAGATAACGACCGAGATTCGCTCGCGTCTCGCGAGCAGGGTCGAATAATTAGGTCGAGTGGCTCGGCTCGCTATCGAGAGTAAAGACATCACGTCAAGGCTCGGCTCAACCGGGTGCTTGCTTCTTCCTATTTCTAATACGTCTGAAACAGACGGCCGATTGATCGGCCCAACCTTGCCATGGCTAAATTAAAGCATGACCCAAATCGCTACGAGGAACGTTAAACAAGCGAGCAAGTTTTTCTATTTCACTCCCAGAGCCTTTCTTCCCCAGGAAGAAAATCGAAGTTTCGAAAAGGATCGTGACAAAGATCTTAGTAGCGGAAAAGAGCTAACAAGAACCTCGAAGGGAGTCAAACAAGAACGCAGTTCGCTAACGTTCGCAAATCTATTTACGTTTTACTAACAATTCTTCTTATAAAAAACTGTTTTGATCCCCTTTTCATCGAAGTAGCTTCTCCCGCCTATTCGAGAACAAAACATCACGATCACGGTGATCAATCTTATACATATGTATACCGCATCGCCCTGAAAAAAACTTGACAGAGGATCTTTATGCATCTTGATGAATCTCTGATGGATCTTAATGAATTTCTTATTCAGGCTTGCATAAGATAATCGGAAGAAACGATCTTTGACGAAAACTCTAAACTGTTTCAGAACGGACTTGACGTAGGAAACAATAGGGGGAAAAAAATCAAAGGCCTCTTCATCCAACAAGTCACAATGGCGACTGTGACTTATCGGAGAAGAAATTTCAGACAGTCTCTAGACAGTCCCGGACACGATGTCGAAGATTAATTTATTCGACGGAATGCTCGTTTCGAAGAATCGATTGGAGGACGACAACGTCGACAACTAGAATTTCCGCGCGCGTAAAGATGCCTGTCATTTCCTCGATATTTCGCAAAAGCATATGGCTCCTTCGCAATCGCGAAGGGACATTGCGACAAACGCGCGACGTCCACCACCGTGTCCGGTCGTGATGTACGAGCCGTCTCGCGCAATAAATTCGCTCGCGGAGCGTCGCAAATAACTCTCCTCCGGTCTCTAACACCTCTTGATATAAAATTCAATCGTATCGCGGTCTACGGTTCCCATGGAACGCCCGCAGTAGGTGTTGCGGCGGATGACCAACCGCGCATTCCCGCTGAATGGCTCACGGAGTCGCGCAACTCGGACGATTCCCGAGGTGTTTGATATACGATCGAGTCGTTGTATCTTTTTTTTTTCTTTCTTTCGGAATCGGCTTTCGGGTAGAGACGCAGCTATGCGATTCCATCGAACGCGAGTGTGCGCGCGGCACGTGTGTAATCCAACAAATCACATAAAATGTATACCATCCCGCGCGATATACACGCGCGGCTAATGCCTGCAGGTCTATGCGGGCCTTGAACCTATTTTTTGCGTGCAACTATTTTCAGACATCCTCGCGTATGTACCGTAGAACGTATCTCGCTTTCCATCTCTTTTTTTCCCGTCATTTGTTACTGAAAAATAAATTACAATTTATCACTGAACTACTTCTAATTTGTAGATTGACGCAACTTGTCGTATCATTGCTTGTTGCATCACATTATTATACGCAATAATAAGTAACTCCATTACGTAAAATTTCGCATTGTGCAATGTCTCGTTTGTTTGAGTATATATTAAAAATTCGCGATCTCTCCCGGAAGCTTAACGCGGCTTTATACTTATACCGGGTCCTTTGGAAAGTGGAAGCAAGTATAGCTACAGGTTTTAACGCGCGAGGACTTCTAGTTTCTCTCCCGGTGCCACGTGTGCATATTTATTACGCCCATAAATTAGGAGAAAAGTGAGTAAACTCGACGATACGTTATTTATTATTATAAATTACCGTCGATCCCTTTGGTATATCAGCGATCGGCTAACGAAACATTTTACAGCGAAGTAGCTTTGAAGAGAGATACCGAACTCCAGAAAAAAGGGTCGACGAACTCTGTGCCTCGTGATAATCGTAACGTTCCAACGCTATGAAAAGAATTCCGAAGTTTGGGGAAAGTGTCGAAGCTACAAATGATCAATTTCAAATTTATGGGAAAAGAGAAAATCAGGGACATTTATAAAGAACGATTTTTTTCCGACAAAACTAAAAATATCTTATGTGAAAAACGTCAACTTAATTTTACGTCAAACGATAGTAATGTCTTTGTCGTTTTACGACGACGTAAAACAATTTAATGTTAACGCACCCGGATAAAAGGTCGCGACGACGGATAATACTCCCTTTTAACATCGCTATCTTTCAGCTTCGTGTTGCAAGTGTGCAATCGTAACACACGGCGCGGATCGTAAATATTTACAAAGTGCGGTGAATCGGTGTGCGCAATCGAGTGCAGCATATAGCATTTACGATTAATGCACGTGTGCGATTCGAGAGGCGTTCCTCCCCGGCACTTCCGGCATTCACCAAAAATCAACTTGTGCCTGCGTGTATTTTTATAACAACGACAACGATGCCGATAATTAAAATAACGGTAACAACGACAGCCCGATGTAGAATTCACCGAGCGATGGAAAATATATTTAGCGTCCCAACGCGACTTTATGCTAATCGAGCTCACGCTACGACGGAACACAAAGCTCCGGGTAGATTTATCATCTTCATAATCGGGTGGAATTAACTGGCCTGCGCGCGCGCGACGCGTATAAAGAATCGCGGCCGGGACGACGGTTTTCTGAAGCTTGATCTCTGACTCACCATTCCGTGACAAAGGCTGACACTGACCGCTGAACTTGGATCGCCGTCGACTGACCCGCTGTAGAAGCAGCCCAAGTGATGACCGGCGTGTTCCCTCCTCGTTGTGTTCTCGCTCATGTGTGTCACCTGCATCAACGTCATCGTGAGAAAAGGCTAATTAAGGCTGTCAATTAAATAGCGAAACGGCCCACCAGAGTAGCGGCTCCCAGCTCGTTTCGCTTCAACCTCTCTCTCTCTTTCTCCGGTTTTTGTACAAAGATATCGCGATTATAAAAACAGTTATAATTTTATGACGTTTTAGGCAATTATGTAAGATGATTTAGCAACGGAGAGGAATGTCACTCGATCGGTTCCTCTCACCTTTATGTCGGGAGATACAAAACTGGCGTCATGTGCCAGCCGCAAGCGAAATCGCCTTCCAAAGGCGGTAAATTCGTATTGCGGGTGAGGGTCCCAGACTTCGGCCGTTGCGTGCCGAAAGTGACCACTGTGATGCCTCTTCGCCGTGGAAAACTGCTCGGCTGAAAACACGAAGAAATTTGGTTAAATAGAGCAGATTACAAACGAAATGAGATAATCAAAAAATTAGAGGGAGGGTATAAACAGGAACCTGCTAATAATTTTCAATTTCGACACACATTGACGTATGTATATATATCTTCTGTATAATTATATATTCTAGTGCTTGAACTTATATACGGATTTTGTATACAATTTCAAACACACATACACATACACGTATATTAAGGGAGATTCTATTTATGTACTTCAGACACTTACGTGGATCTTCATACTGATTTTGACTAATTTTTAAAGGCTTGACGTACTCCAGATTGCCCTTAGCGGACGGCAACATGTCGATCGACGACGTGCCATTGAATTCTTTCGTATTTCGTATTCCTTCGGGAAGCACTGAAACAAAAACCAATTAATCGTGTATGATTTATATTAATAAAAAGCATTTAACGTTTTAACAAATTTTGACAAAATATAGTATCTTCGTAGCGTTTATTAATTTAAATAATCTGAACAGAAAGTTTCGAAAATTTACATTTCGAAACTTATATACAATTAGAATAGACAATTCAGTGAAAACCACGCGGGTCTCCTTCAACTTGCATAAGCAGGTAAAAACGTGTCGATTCATTCGAGTCTCATTTTCCGTTAGTACCCCTCAGCTTTTCTCTCGAAAGAGATCGTCAGTTATGTTATTTAACCACTAGTTAAAATTTTATTATCGATCGCGGATATTTTTATTCGAATGGCAACGTTAAATATGACTCATCGAAAGATAAAACGGCTTTATACGCTCGAATGTTGACTGACACTAATTACCAAGCGGCCGAAGGAGCCAATCTATTAGTATAAACTGAGTAACTGCGCGTAATTACGATAGGCCAGCACATTCTACGATGTTTCTACGAGCATCTTACCGATTCTCCGCGATCCGGTCGGGCGATTTGCCTTGTCTTTTTACGTTATACGTATCGGGCGTTTATTATACACCGGAGTGCGATTCAATGTTCACTAATTTAGGTTTAACGGCGAACCGTGGAACACCGGTATGGGACCTTGAGGAAATTGTTCGCGGAATAAACGCGGCGAGCGGAATCGCCTCGCCTAATTATATCGGACCCTACCTATAACACTCCCCGGCTCTCCCGGTAGTACGGCGTCTGGAGGAACACATACCTTTCACACGCACCGGTTCTATAATTAACGCACGACAGTTTTCGCGAGAGACGTATCGAATGTCAGGTCTGAATCACGGGTCATGAGATAAACGCCGGAATGCCTTACAAACCGAATTTACGATCTCGTATATATACACACGGCGTGTGCCCCATACGCGCACACACGCCCGATCTTTTTTTATCTCCTCTCGAATAAAATATCAAGAGACGTGTGCTCGCGAAAAGGAAACGCTATGCAGCTGTATATATGTGGCACCGTGAAAGATTACGGAACAAAGGGACACCATGTCGCGCGCCGGGTAGATTAAGCCCGGTTGCAAAACGCGAACACGTGGGCGAACACTAGGAGAGTGCAGCGTCGAGCCGTTGCACAATTCCGGGACGTTACGCGGATATTCAAATGGGAAAGGCGAGACGATCTTGGTAGAGCCAGGTAGATCTTAGGTCGCGCTGAAGACATCGTTGGCTGCGTAGTTATCCGTTTTGTTATCCGTTCATTTGTTGCCAGCGTGCTCGGCACGAATGCGTTAAGGTCTCTACCCAGGCCGATTTGCATAGCCGCCGCATCAGTATACGTGCACGCACAACGAGATCATTCACGTGTGTCTATCATTATGACGCGTTTAACGTAATGAGACGCAACAAAACGAGCGGATATCTTGTATATTAAATGCGTAATCGATCGATTTTTACCGCGCGTATACCCATTACGCAACGTTCGTTTGAATAGGACATTATCCTCAACATTAGACGGGCACTTCTCGAGTTTTAACGAGTCATGTTTAGATATTAGATATAAATGATCTTAGATCAATCTCGCACTTTGATCCACGGATGTTCTGAATCAAGCCTCTCTCCATTGAAAATTCGATGGAGTTACTCATCTCACTCTTTATCGCATATATGACTGAATTTGATGATAGAGATTTTTTTCTTCATTTGCGGATATATGTAGATAAAACGCTGCGGTATGCCTGTAAGTAACAACAAGTAGATCAGGTTTATATATTCACGCGATAAAAAAGGAAAAGTAATAATCTTGTAGATTTATGTAACGTGTAATAATCTTTGCAAGATACCGTTAACATGCATCAAATGCTAACTTTATACTATTGCCGTCGTTGGCTACATTTTTTAACTGCATTTCTTTAATTACAAAGCCTGTCTAAGAAAGAAGAAGGATCGGAGGGCTAGAGTAACTGCCCACTGCAAGAAGAAGATACTGGTTAAAGAACACTAAAGTCTTTCCTTAGTCGAACTACAAGACAAAGTCCAACAATAAGAAAAAGAAGAAGAAGAAGAAGAATATATGCAATGCAAATGTAATGCATTGATGCATAAGTATCCATCTAACGAGCGTTGCAGTACGTTCCCGTACGTTAACGACCTAAAACAGAAATGCGCGGTCTGTGTACGCCAGAAAAACTTAAAAACACGCTATATGTGTTTAGCATCTCGAAATATACGTCACCACATCCAAACGCGTGGCGAAGTTTACGTTTTCGTCACGTTGCACGATGCATTTCGTTGCCGTACGCGCGGAACTGTTTGCCGAAACTGCAAGGAGTAAGAGTAATTGTCCGTTTCAACTTCCTCCGCGCGAAATTCATCTATAAAGCGTATTATTCCTGAAAACATCAACGGAAACGTGCCGGACGTGCGCTACCCCCTTTCGAACGACACGTTTGTTTTGCGCCCTAAAATTCGCAAAAAGAATCCCTTCCCTCCCAACGGTAACAATAACCGCTTCCGTTCCATTTCTATAAGCGAGACGTGCGAGTAAGCCATAAATATCTTCTGCATTTTAAGTGCAGAGTTAAAATTACATCGTAATTTTTCGCAGTGATTTCGCGCGAGAAGGGAACGTTGTATTGCATATTTATTATTGCAAGAAAGCAAAGTATGCGCGACAATTACATTTGCAAAAAAGTTAACTTATCATCGAATTATCCTATCCGATAACGAAACAGCTGCAGATAATTCGAAATCATTCCTCAAAAACCTTGAATATGAAGAGTCCTTGAAACGTTCTACAATTCTTTCGCATACGCCAGAAACGCCAATTACTGTTTCTTAGAATAATAATTAAAATTTTTTCTGCCTCTTTTATTAATAATTACCACGGTAATCCTGTTGATTGTTTAATTGAAAGTTGGAATGATAATAAAACTCTATAAATAGCAGCCGCAGCTTTTACGCACGTAATCATATCTCTGCGGTTATGTCGAAAAGAAGAGATAACAAAAACTAAATTAACGAAAGAAAAGAAAATACATAATCTCCATATTTCGATATGAACCACAAGACTTCTATTCTATCTTATCAATATTTCTAATATGTTTTCGCACATATTGAAACAGAGAAAAATTAGAATAATCCCCCGTTAAAAACAATCCCCCATTAACGCCTCTAAGAGAAGTTATATTGCTCCGTAAGATTTAAAGAAATAATTTTTGCCAGGGATACGTTCTGCGAACCGACCTACAACGAAATCTCTGGGTGTCACGTGTCGTTGAACTGTGGCGTTTGGGTGACATTGTTTCCCCCACGTACAAAAGATCCATTCTCATTACTGCCAGACCGCTCCTCTCGCGTAAACGTTTACGCTTCGTCTCGGCTGTGCCGAGTGACACTCATTCGCCTGCCTCTGCCGTGCCACAAGGCGGACACTGTTCGTGAGAGAAAGAATGTCTGCAGTGTCCCGTGCGCGTTGCCGTTTAATTACCGTATCGAAACACGATCCTGGAAACACACGAGAGACGTAAATCATCCAGCCGGAAAATACGGAAGATCGACTAAAAATATAATCCTCACTCTCTAGATGTATTTTCTCAATTTAAGTTAAAAATTGCCCAGAATTCTCCAAGGCTCAAAAGAATGTTTGATCGTACCGTTAACGAAGTCATTAATTTGTATTAATTTAATGGAGAGATTAAACGTATCATTGAATTATTAACTACGTATGCAAGTGCGCTTAATCTTACCACACATGTGGCAGTATAATCTGTTTCTTTACGACTTCTGGATATAGATAAAATCTCCTTCGCGTTTCACTAACTACTTACTTCTGAGGCAATGTGAAAGAAAGAGTTTCGAAAAGGAAGAGAGAAAACTTTTCTAGGTTCACAAACTGAGTTAGAAATGTATCACGCTTACGCAAGTAAGTTGTAACTTGCTATATGCCCAGTTTCATCGGCAAACATGATCTCAGCGAATCGTGTTAATAACTTTTAATGCAGACATGTTTCAAGAAGGCAGTAAAGTTATATCTCACTTTGCAGAGTCAACTGCAACGTCAGCACGGCAAATAAGTTTGGAGCACGGCAGTTTATTCTGAATAGCGACAATATAAACACTTGCCACCGTATTATTACTGAACTAGATTAGATACTGCAGAATTTATGCAACCGATCGGTCGGTCGAGACGAAAGTAAAACGTGTTAATGTCAATGCCTATCAATTTGAATACTTACTCCAAGTATACATACTACAGTTAATAAATAGATCTATATTATTTCTCGAAATTTTCCTCTCTAATAAAATATATCCCTGACACAAAGAATTGACTTTACATCCGTAACATAATTATTATAAAAAATAATTCGAATTCTCATTTGAAAGGGAAAACTTGAATACGATTTTAAAATCGTGGAAAAATTAAATGATGTGAAAAAATTAATTACGTATATACTACAAGAAAATATAGCGAAAATTACGTTATCAGAAATCTATCTTCGACATCATGCAGGAACTGCGAAAGAATAAAGCAAGGTCTGCCACGCTAAAATTTATTAAAAATTGAACGGAGCGGGATAACGGAGCAAAGGTGGCACAAAATTGCGGGCGGCATTGGTGCCGCTAAGGTTCAAGACCATCGAACGCTAGCGTATCGTCCCAGAGTACCGGCTGGCTTTGGCTATTTTAACTCGAATATAGTCTCAGACGTAAATTATGACCGGTGCGACCGATATATCCTGCGAAGCACAGTGGTCCGAGTTCTGTAGATCCGACCGAAATGTTTATACGGACAAGAGGCTTGAACGTCTGGCAGCAATATCGCATCCTATGCATTCGCGGCGCCTCGTCAGCGCCAGAGTAAATCTTTCCGAGGTGCTTCAAACATCATTCGGTTCTTGGGTCAATCAAAGATACGACGTTTCGTAGATCTACCTGCCTGTTCAAGCGATTCCCGCGTTCAGTCCAACCAAACAACGAATTTTCTCCCATCTGTCGAAACAAATTATCAGTCTATTTCAAGATCGTTTATAGCTTCCGAGTATCTAAATACACGCAAGGCGTGTTAAATGTTAATATACAATTCAAATACACGAAAACGCATCGCTCAATCGAGGCCCTCGACAATACTTGTTATCTTATGTTTTATGCAAAAACCTAAAGTCCTCTTACACGAGATACGCGCGCTTCCTTTAGAATTTCAGTGAAGTCCGTGGTATTAAATCAAGATTATTATTCAGACATGACACATAAAGTAGCGTAACAAAGCTTCGACGTCTTCGAAAATTTATCGATGTCGCCTTCTAATAACCGGTCAGCCTGTTAAGAAAGAAAGGATGTTCATTGCGTGGGAGAGCAAGAGGAATGGAGTTCTCTGATCAAACACCTTCCAGCGAATGCTTTTACAGGAACGTATAGACACAAGATTGCTCTTTCTCCTCGATCAATATGGATCTATTACGAATTCGAGTTCGTCGTTGTCGATGTCAGAAGTTAAATTGGAAGAGCCCGGGGATCTCGAGAATGCGGGTTTGTACAAACACGTATACGTCGCTATACATCCAACCTCCTGCCTAAGCGAGATAGCACGATGAGGTGACTTGGGCAAACTCGTTAATAAAGAATTTCCGTAGGTGCATTGCATTCGTGCGTTACTCCGGACATTTACGGAGAGACGGTGCGTTAGCACGTTGCTGCATCATGCCGGCTAATATGGGCTAACAATCAAGGCCTCGCTTGAACGGCACGCAACACTTTAGAACGTAGTCCAAGAGCAACTAGTAATGGAACTCAGGAAACACGGCGCGCGGCGCGAACAATTAAAGTATATACCCGAAGGGGAAAATTGCAAAATCGACGGCATGGCGTACTGGCGATTATAAGAAGACAACTTTGACAGCGTTTTGCGTCTCGCGAGGATATAAACCGTGTAATATACAGACTGGTAATAGCCGAGATGCCAGCCGGTTTACGCAATATTAAATCCGCAAATAATACGATGTCAAATTTTTTAATAGAAATATCTGAAAAAAAATCCATCTATCTCTTGCAAGACTTTAACATCCGGCTATTTTTTTTTCAAGTTTTTTACCTTCAAAATTAGATTACAAAGTTCCTTTTATGGAGTCTGAAAAACACCAAACAGACTATTAAATTTACATTACATTTGGAGTTCAGACCATCGCGTCTGGGCCTTGTAAATTCGTTTCGTTCCACGTTGTACACGAGTCGAACAGGATGTCCTCGTCGGCAGGGAGTTCGAAAAGGTGTACGAAAACGAACGCGGTAACAGACGCTTAACGATGACGACGTTGGTGCTTAGTTGAACGCGTGATACCCGCGTCTGCTGACCCTGGCAGAAACACGAGCCTTCGCGACGTACGCACTTTTAGTGGCGTTCGCCGCTCGAACGCGGCCTGCACTTTTAGTTACATCAACGTGCCTTCTTCGTTTCTCCCTTCTGCGAGCCGCACGTTCGTATCGTACGTACGTATCTATCCTACGCTCGTGTAGGCGCGATGTTTTGTGTCACGATGCCAACGTGGCCATGCAAAGAGAATACGTCTTATCAACGAGGGCGCGCGCGCGCGCGCGCGATGTCACACGAGGCAGTCGCGATTATGCGTTGTATGCGTTTTGAGGAACGAGCTTGCCGGCAAATTCGCGAAAACGTATATCTCTACCTCATTACAACGATATCGCTTCTCGGAACATTCGCTTGGGAACGGAGGAGGAGGAGGAGGATAGGGTTTCGCAACAGCCGAAAAAGATACTTGAATTTCCGAGTCCCAGACGCTCACCTCGGTTAAGACAGACCGCGAACGAAAAACATCCGTACGTGTGTGGAAATTTACCTTTTTTAGAGGGAAAAAAAAATACATCGTTGATTAGAAAGGAGAGTGACATGAGTCATTAAAAATAGCCTCCTCGCACCTTTTCAGGCCTCACCATCTTTCGTGCGGATAATTATTTTTGCGCAAGAAAATCACGAGTTGCAAAAGATGCGCGGAGAGAAGAACGACAGAGTCGCGGTAAAGCACGCGATGCGGACATATTTTTGTATGAAACACGGATGTTGTTGTTGTACGTACGGATTTTATATACGCTCGCGCCTATGTGCTTACACGTAATAATGCACGGCACACATTCTTTTATATACGCTGCGCATTAAGAATATCGAAAGCATCGTGGTTTCAAGACGTCCCAAGACGGCAGTCTTGGTCTGAGTATTGACACAGCGTTTTATCATGGCTATTAGAATTTTAATGCTATACGCTCGTTTCTGTGTGAGAAGAAAATAATCTTCGCTGCTTACTGTAGCAATGTAGGTACTTAAATAAGCGCGATCATTTAATCCGTCTATTGAAATCTAACGAAATCTAAGCACCGCGAGCCGTTATTCGAAAGTCAAACTCGGTAGAAATGCTTTTCTGCGAATTAAAGAACGTTTCTCTCACAGCGAATGCTACCGAGAACGCAAGAAAATCTGCGGACAAATAGAAAGTCCACGTACAAAGGAACAAACGTATAAGTTGTAAGGAGCATGAGAAGAAGGAATTCGTGGGTGAATGCGCTTTGAGTAGCGGCCTTTGCAATGTCGACTCGTGCCTGAGATACGTGTTAATTCCCCATAAATCAATCGAGCTTGCTAGTCTAGCTGGTCTAGCACTGATAAATCCACACAATGTCATTTGACTTGACCTAAAAGAACTGAAAATTCTCGTTACATCGCGGAAACATGTGTATATATTTGCATATCTTCGCGTCTTAAGCTTTATTTTAAAGTCAAAGAGTTTCTCCGTCAATAAAAGGGACAAGCGAACAGATAACTAAGACTCACCCTCATTCGTGAGATTCTGCTCGATAGATTCGAACGTCGTAACCAGATCCGTCGTGGCGATGCGGCGTAGACCGTCGATCTGCTTCCTCCTCGTTTCATTGACGACACCATCGATCGTCGAATTCTTCCGTATCCGGCCGAGATTCTCGATCCTGTCTACGTTGCGCACGTCCGACCACAAGATTACTAGGAGTATCACGAGCAAAACGATGGCGAGGGCCGCGCCAATCGTGGCGACGCGATTCGAAATTCGCGACATCTCTGCAAGTCCCACTGGTGCACGCGCATCTATTCGTCCGTTCGAAACGTCTGTTCAGCGTTTCCGCACGCTATTTCGAAAGCGATCACTAATGTACCCGGTATATAGGTATAAGTATATATCACCGAGAGACCGATCTTCGCATCGATCTCACCGCGCGTCAATCGATCATCCCGAGCGCGTCATTGGACGACGATTATCGCGGATACTCCGAAGCGTTCGAGAGCCGAGAGAGCCTCTGGTACCTTCGCCTCCGGTATCCATAAAACCCTCGCAACAGACAGAGATCTCAAGGTCTCTCCTCCTCCTCCTCTCGATTCTCGTTTTCCTCGCAAACGACTCGCCAGCAGAATGCAACGAGGATCGGCGCAACGTCCATTAAAGAACGCGCTGGGTCTCGTCCTGCGCGTCCTGGTCTTATCTCTCTCGGAGGACCTCGACCATACCGCTTGCGCCTGTGTGCTTGTGCAATGCGTATAGATCTGATTACGCGGAGAATGGCCGGCTGGAAGAGTAGAAACGCATCGCGCCGATTGTACGCTCAGGAGCGAGTATTATAGCTCATTCTCTAGCCCGGCGTTCTCGATCCGATCGTTCTCCTCTTGCTTCGCTCGCCTCGCTTCACACCGCCGGAAGCTTACGTCTGTCGCGCCAGCTTCGTCGCGCTCCTTCCCTCGACGATCCCCCGAGAAGCATTTCCAAATTGACGAAGCGACGAGAGCACGCGTAATCGGGTCGATGACCGACGACGACGACGACGACGACGACGACGACGAGACGATCGAAACCTTCGGTTTTCACGTGGGGCGCCCGAACTTTACGAGCGCCGACTGGAGTTTATCCGCGCCGTACAGATTCAATCTTCTCTCTCGGGCTGCTGAGCGACGCTTTCCTGAAACCAAACAAACGATTTCTCGTCAGCGGGAGATTAAATCGACGCGGCAACCTTGTCTCGTATTTATTTTTCGTGTTTCCTTGAGGGATAATGCTTTCTGTCAAGATAGATTTGAAAGGAGCTTAAAATCACGTCGTGTCGCTCGTCAAGGCTGAACGAAGGAAAATATAAATATAGCTTTTTACTCCCGTCTTTCTTAGAGACAGCGATATTCTTAGGGGAGGGATGTCCAAGTTTCGGGAGGCGAAGCTTAAATCCGCCGCGTCATCAAGGCCGGGCGCGAGTGAAATATAAAAGCTGCTCGGCGCGCGGCTGCCGACCTCGGGAATCTCTTAAGGTCTGGGTCAAACTATTCTCGTCGCGTATATCGCATGCACCAAGTTTGATCAATCGGTTAGACGATCGATAAATCTTTGTCTCGTAATTTCACTGAATCCGCCATCTCGCTTCTCCTCGGACAGGCGTAATATATATACGGTATTTCCACGACGACCACTTTCTCCATCGATCAGAGACCTGATTGGCGATATTGGATATATTAATATGCGTATTTAAGTGCACAATAATATCTAATGTAAGAGGACATTGCCATTTATTTGTCGCTCAACAACTACCTAAAGAAACAAACATCTTGTAGATATAAAGACAATTTACCTTATCATTCTTATCAATAAAATGTTTATTAAATGTAGGAAAAATCCGGATAACGTGAAATCTATTTGAAATTGGCTGAACGATGTGGTTTTGTTATCCATTTGTTCTTTCCAAAGTATGATCCGTAAAAAATTCTTTTTCCGCATCTCGAAAATTAGTGTTATCTTATTTTTCAACGAAAACATCAATTCCAGATTTGTCAAGAAATTTTCCATTAAAATTAATCCTGCGAATTGATCGATAATGTATCTTCGAAATTATTAATACAAATGATCGCGAGACAGAAGGTCGTTTTCGTTGAACAAAAAGGGGAACGATCTTTCGCGAAATAATTCCTCTGACTTCGCTGTAATTAATGATTAACGACGTGGGTGAAAGGATGGGCGTAAATTGCGTTATCGTCTCGTCGTGCCGAAACTCCATCTCGGAAACAAATACTTTGATTAAAAGATTGATGATGAGCGTCACGCCGCCTTGCAATGCTGATGCGGAATGTAAAATTAACGTCGGACAACTCCGTCGCGTTCCTTATCAAAGCTTCATCGTATAAAGCTTGATTCATGCAGCGCAGCCGCCGACAAAAAATGAATCGGAGGCATCGGTGGAACAAATTGCTCGTTCATTGACGCTATCCGCTCGATAGATCTGTATCGCGCGTCGGTATAAATTTAAAATTAAACACGGTAGTCGAAGGAGAATTTAATTCAACAACTATTATTGCTTTGTGAGGAAAGAAATTAGACACAGAAGGAAAGGAACGAAATGTTGAAAGATACGCGCATAATTGCATAAGAAAAGCGAGGGAGAATCCCTCGCGTTATCCAAGAAAATACACGAATAAGTTCCGAATATTTTAGAGTGTCCAACTTCACAGTTTCCTCCGTGATTTACGAGAATTCCTCACGTTGAGCAAGAAAATATGCAAATGCGAATCATAAAGCGGAGTTCCAAGGTACTTCGGAGCGTCCAACTTCACAGTTTCCTCCATGATTTATTAAGAATTCCCCGCGTTGTGCAAGAAAATACGCGAATGCGGACCACGAAGCAAAGTTTCGAATATTTTGGAGTGTCCGGCTCTACAGTTTTCTTCATGATTTACGAGAATTCCTCACGTTGTACAATGAAATACGGGAATGCGGTTCCTAAAGCGAAGGTTCAAGATACTTCGGAGGATCCAACCGCCGCGGTCTTCTTCGTGATCTACGAGAAAAGCAGCTGTTGTCAAGAATGAACACATCACTGACAAGAAAAACAGTAGCGATGACAATCGGAAAACCAAATATGCCAAAAAATAATGAATGAATTCTCCGTTTCGTTGTATACTACTATCTTACTTTTTCGAGCAAACGCAAATGTTCGCGGTTTGGCGGCTGACTAAAATCCGTGAACTAGAATCCGACGATTCTCCCGGGCCCGTCTGTCATCGACACGTCGATCCGGCCGGCACGTATATCGGTGACGATTAGCGGGGGCCTATCTCCATGCTCATAAATTACATTTGTGTATAACGTTCCTGCCGGCGGCTGCGTGAATCGGGCTTAACGTCGGGCGCCCGCGGACAAGACCGTGCGAGGCAAGGGGAGCGGAAACTAGATGGAAACCGGTAGTGTGCATTTTCAACTTGCGCGCACACACATACACGCGCGCGCACGCGAGCGCATACGCGCACCGCCTGATTTTAAACCGCCTATGTTGAATTTACACTCGCTGTGCACATGTTCCCACCTGCCTTGTCACGTACCGCTACGAGCGTTGACTCCAAATCTTGGTTTAATGCAAATAGCGGCTGCGCGCGCGCGCTTGCGGCTTACCGATAACTCCACCTTCTTCGAAGAGACGACGTCTGATTTACCGCCGAGGGCGAGGAGGAATCGCACAGGGAGGGGATGCAATCTTCCACGGCGGCGTTGATCGAAAATCCCGCATCTCCTTCGAGAGCGAGGACCGATCTAGGAGACCGCGAATCGATCTTTTAGATTCTAGAGAAGACTTCCCGCGACTTACAAGATGCGAATTGTGCGCGAACTCAAAGATGGGACCAAGAGAGAGCTCATCATCATCAGGCGGGCGTATCGCGCGCGAGCGCGCGCACGCACACGGTCCCTAGGCCTAAAAATACAAATTTAAATATTGCGTAACGCGCGCCGGCGGTAACTCATTTCCGCGCGGGCGAGAATCGGATACACCTGACACGACACGAGACGCGTGGCTCCTCGTCCGTCGTTAACGACGCGAAGTGTGCGGCGATTCGCGCGGAGAAGACTGCGAGAAGACACTTACCACTTACCACCCGCAGCAGCGCGGATTCGCCGAAACGCGAACCTGATGCCGCGTGCGTATAAGAGCGCGCGCGCGGCAACGGAATAATCCCGTGGGATGGGATGAGCCGGATGAGCGGCGAAACCGGTGGATCCGCGCGACCAGCGATCGTCGATCGATCGGACACAGGATCTTGATCTTCTCTTTCTCTCTCTCTCCGGCGCGGGAGCAGCGCGAGACGATCCGTGGAGCGTCTCCGACGATCGGCGATCGGCTCCGGGCGCGACGACGCCGGGCGATCGGATACGAGCGTGCGGATCACGACGCGACCGATCTGAACCGCTCGCACCGACTGAAGTGCGCTCCGGGCCGCCCGAGGCCTCCGCGACCTCCGCCGCCCCCTGCCCCCTCCGCCCCCCCCCCGCCCCGCCGACGCACACCGGCTACGGACGGACAACGATCTCGCCGTCGTATAATTCACGCTGCCTCCGCGGCTACCATACCCTACCGGGCGCAACGCACCCGGATAACGCGCCAAGATATACCTACCATATATCTTCTACCCCCCGAGACCATCGTCGAGCGGACGAGCGATTTAAACTGACCTGCGTTAACCGCGAAATTCGCCGTTCACCCGAAACTCCGGTTTCCCGCCCGCCATCGTTGGGCGCGAAACTTTTTAGGAGTGAAAAATTGCAATTTTTTCGACGCGTCAAAATAGGAAATTTTCGATGGGTACCTTATTCTTTTGTTCGTCGACAAGGATTGCCAAAATGCAGCCGAGGACTTCCTTTTATTCGCGAAAAGATAGGCGATAAGGCGATCGTGGATCTCGATCGACAACGCTCGTAAGAACTCCACTAGACACGTATAAATCGTGTTGCGCGTGCATTTATCGAACGATAAAAGGATTTGTGCGGTAATCTTTTTGGGAAGAAGCGGATACGCGGTTTCGCACGCGCGGCACACGCTGCGTGCTTGCAATTTCTAAAAAAAAAAAGAGATTCTTGAGCCGTCTTACTTGCCGCACCGTCGCGCATCTCGCGTCCTCCGAGAAGTCAGCCCCCTCGAGAGATTCAAATCCGCCACCTATCGCAATTCAATTTATCGAACTCTCGAAGGGCGCGAAATTTAAAGCGGGATGTATGTATGTATGTACATCTCCCGGCGACTCTAATTCTTAAAAGTATCTGAAAACACGCGCTCCAATTATCTCGACTAATTATCACTTACCCCAATTACAGATAAGAATTGCGAGAAGAAGGAAAGAGGAAAAGCAGAAGAGAATAAACTTATTGTTAGACAAGAGAAGGGTTAAACTGGAGAAGCTAGGAAATTATGAAGTTGAGAGTTTAGGTCAAAATCTTGAATTCTGAGTTTCGAGTTTAAAGTTTTAAATTTCGAAATTTGTGATAAATTTGAAAAGCCTACGCATACAAAAATAAGATAAGTAGTATTGAATGTCGATTTTTAAGATTCGATAAATATGAAAGGTTTACACATACAAGATTAATAGTAAATATTTAAAAAATCAAGATATAACGCAAAGTAAAGGTGTGCGTAACTATAACAGTAATTGTAAAAGCAAAAGTGTAATGTTAAGTAAACAAACTGTTGATGTGGAAAGAACAATGTAAAATAACGTACTGTACAGAAGTTCATCCAAAGCCGCGAGGGGCACGCGAATTAATAAAATACAATATACATACACTTACCCCCAATTATTTCAGAAAGACAATTCGCATATATATAAGATTTTTAATCGTCATCTTTTTTAAAAATATTCTAAACTCTAAAGTATCATCTCACTTTTAAGTATTATTTTTAAGTATCTGGAAAAACAAAATTATATCAAATAGAAGAGAAAATAGTTGAAAATAATTAATCAATCGCACCTCTTTCGTTTTGTCCTCAGCTGGGATGTAATCTCGAGTTAACGATGAGAATAAACCCGGACGAAAGAACGGGGATGGAAGACTATCTCAAAACAATGTGACTTTATTCGTTCATATGGTCGATTCATATGAAATTTACGTGTACTAAGTAGCTGTTACAATTACAAAGAGCAATTCTCGTTTACGCGAGAAACGTACCACCTGGTCTTCCGTTATTTTTTTTTTTTTGTTTCCAAGATATACCATTTTTCTTTCCCAGTTGTTCGTTCAATCGACATAGAACACGTACTATTATAATAAACGTTATCTAACGACGTACCTAGATCGTCGTCTCGTTCAGACAGTCGTCATTTAGATTCGGTCGCATTGCGCGCAGGGATACCCGCTACATCAATAACTCGTAATTAGTTGCACCTGTCACGAGCTTCGACTTCCGCCGACGTCGCGCGTGTATTGTCTCTTCTTTGCCGCCCGCAGCTTCCACTAACGAGCCGTTTAACGCTTGACAATTGGATCGTGCACTCTGAAGAGATGTTTAGCAAAAACAGATCTACCAGTAAATCGTTTGGCAAAGTAGAATATTGTATCCAAATATAGAGATATTTAAAACGAAGAGAAAACGACGCGTCGGCGATAGAATCATATATATATATATATATATATATATATATATACATACATACTTAGTAAATATATATATGTACACACACATGCATATATATGTATGTATGTATATATAAAAAAGAAACAAGCGCTACAATTATTGATCAAGTAAAACGTCGTTAAAAAAAGAATGTACACCTATACGGGCATTGACAGCGGAGTGCGACCGCGTCGTTCTCGGAAGACACGAGCGACAAGGAGAGGACGGTAAAACGTAATGTTCCAAGATTCGCATGAAAGTGCAGCTAATTCAGAGTTACGCTACATAAACGAGGAACATGTATAATAAATATCGAATAACAGTTGTGGTACTTATGGTAGTACGAAGTAGTAGAATGCAGCGTACACGTACTATAGCAGCGGCTATAAAAAGTATCTACTACGCACGAGTTTGTTACATTCGCGCTATTTATTCTTTGCCTCTATCTGTTCGTTCTCCCTTTCTCCCTTTCACTCTCTCTCGTTTATTCTCACCCATGCATGTTCATTCGCTCGCTCGCTCCCTGTCTCCTCTCTCTCTCTCTCTCTCTCTTTCTTTCTTTCTTTCACACTTTCTCCCTATTGTAAATTCTTACTCAGATTTCTCGCTCTACCACACCTTATATTTTTCTACCTACATTTTATCATCATCATCATTGTAATAATTATCGTCAGCGTTATTATGTATTCGGCCGAAAGTCATTACTGCTTTCTTCCCTAAACGTCGGTAATTCGGCCGCTGGACAGGATAGGATCTGTGCACTTGATTTCAGTCCGTTGTGTCATCTGTTCATGTTCAATGTCCATTTGTTCATCTCGTAACACAAACAATAGACTCTTTTCAAAATGTCCAACAATGTCTATTAACATCCTTTAGCTATTCACACATTTTCGAAACCATCTTCTCCATTTCGACGTCCGTATCGATGTCGTGGTGCACGTGGCTACTCGTACTGCTATTGCTGATTGGAACCATAGTGTTAGTGGTGATAGGAGCGGCCACTGCGGCGGTCGCGGATGCCGTAACCGTCGACGGCGTGCTCGGTGTTGTGCCTGGGGTCCCTGACAGTTCGATAGGCGAGCCTGGCGACGCGAGTGGTTCGGCCAAGTCCTCCAATCCTTTGGGCGTTGGCAGTTTATTCAGTTCTTCCCTCAATAGTCTATAATGTCTCTGTGAACGTACAAGAGAGAAGCACGCGGTAAAACTGTAACTGTAACTGTACAAATGGAAAATCTTGAATCACCCATTATTTTTTCAAAAATAACACTTACCCTCAAAGACAACGCATTAAGGGAAATTGTACGGCCTGATCTACGATCCGATCCATGCATTTCCATATCTCTTATCCATCCCTCCAGTTGTGCAACGATCTCGTGCCTCTTTATCCAAAAGTGGGTGTGTATAACCTGTTGAAAAATAATCGAAGCTTTCTTACTCGCGAGAACAACGTGTTCTAAGATCATATTTAATCGCTGAGACATCTTTACTTCGTAGCTTTTAATACAATAATTCTATCGCATTAAAAACACGATAATAATTTAATTATATTTTAATTTAACGTAGCAATTATTATCACCTGATTTTTTTTGTATATTTTTATGTATGCATATTGGAATAAATGCGCAGACTGTTTGTTGGAAAAAGATATGTAATCTCGCTCATTCTGAGACCAACTGTTTAACGTACCTCTTTGAAGCATGGGCAAGGATTGCGTATTTGATCGAGCATCGCCCACTTGGCGGTAGCCTGACAAATATTCGCATTGTACTCTTGACTAGATTGAGCACCGCTTGACGTACCCCGTGACCGTTCGTATCCAGGCTCGTTGAAATAAGGTTCAGACACTAAGATTAGCGACTGTATCGATACTAAAACCTGTTCCCAACAAAGTTACAATATGACACTGTGATTAACGTCTTTCTCCTACTCTATTAATAAGCGCAATATTGCCTCGATCACTAGACAAATCAATTTTTAACAGAAGAATTTCGCCAGATCCTGACTTCTGAAGCTTACCTGAAGGAAGCTACTCGTGTGCGCATTCCATTTCTCCTCAGGTCGACCGTGCCAAGTGTTCAGTACACTGAGACAGACCTTTCCGTCATTATATAAATTCGGATTGAAGCGCACGGTGTGTCGGCCGGTTGTCTCTAGGTTTATTAACATCGGGCTGTTAGGATAATCGGGAGGAAAGTACACATCAAACTCAAAACAGCCGTTTGCGTACGGCGTTTCTGCTGGCCCCGTTATGAGTACCTTCAACAATTGTATATATCGTGTTACATTGCGGCGCACATGCGAGATACTTAATTCGCTTTAAGCTTATCTTTAAGCACTGGAACAATGTTGAAATAAAAACAAGATATTCTTTCTCGCGTACGTTATTGAAATTCCAACAGCAAAAAATTGTATTTTGTTACTCTGTTATAATTTATTATCGCTAATTAATAAAATATATTTTGTACAAGACCATCTTCAGGATTTCTTTGTGTTATAATTTCAATAAGTGGAAATGTACATAGCGCCTTTGATGCTTGATATAATAATAATTGAAATGCTCTTCTGCTTTACGTTACAAAATGCATCCCAGTGTTTAAGGATCAAACAGCTGTTAGATGACTAATTAATCCTGCTCTTCCGTCCAATTCTTCTGTGTAATATTTAAAGTCATATCCACCGAGAGTTATGACATGTTAAAAATGAAAGTCGACGGGTAGAGCCGAACGAGGCAACAGGATTTTAAGTCGAGTTTCATGGAAAAGACAATATACCTTCATGATATCCAATCTATCCGCATCG